ATATGCAGCCAGATATATTATCGTTTGACTGTCACATAGTTATTTGGCTATCAAGCATGTATTGGTTTAAAAAGGTAAAAGTAATACTTACTGTTTGTAACATCCTCTTAGTAAGGCTATGGTTTATTGGTTGAAGCACTCACCATCCGAATAGTGCCTTTTTGGCTTAATCTTGCCCAACTATATGAATATCATAACTCGTTAAACAATAAGTATAGCTCATAACCTAGTACTGAATCATATGCTGGATAGAATTGTTACTTGGTTTTTTAGTATTTAAGCTTGAGACTTTTTTCTGAAGTACTGCTTGTTCATTTAGCTGTAGATGATATAAATTTAAAGTGGTTTATCAGTTCTTTTACTTAATATGGATAATATCTTATTTTTGAATATAATTCCTGCAGAATAACTATTTTTTTCATTACTAATGATGACTTCTTCACTTTAAGTATGTTGTTCAACAACTTTTGATACATTTTAGCTTGTTGATAGGTTATTTTTATGTGAAAAGTATACCAATTTTACTTTAGAGTGTAACATGTTTAAAAAGTTGATATATTACAGTTAGTTTGACTCAGTCGTCAAGAGGTTGTCGCCAAATTTTCCCGTTCTCTTCTTTGATACTAGCGATATGAGTGATTAATTAAGTGGACTTTTTTTTACATTGATTTATTATTCTCATATTCAGTTCGATGAAGATGCTTCTTTACATTCTGGAGTGGATGGTGAAAATGATCTATCTAATTATCCTGATTGGAAATCACCTAGTTTACAATCAGAGGAGGATGGTAGTAGTTCAATGCAAGATAGTGCAGTAAGTTGTCTCTACTTTCTTCTTTTTCGTTGTCGGTTTGTTCAAAACTTGATTGTGATGACTTTCTTTTAGATGGGACTTCTTGCGTTCTGGTGGGTTTTGTTTGCTGCCTTTTGTTACTATTGCCACGGAATACTTTTTTTTCCTTTCATCTTCTCATTTTTCATTTCTGTTCAGGTATTTCGTTGAAAAAAAGTCTAAATGTTTCACGAACCTGGTCGATATACCGCTTAATTTTTCTCACTTTCATTCAGTGTAACCGTTTAAAGCTCTTCTAAAATATTATTCATGTTATGTGGCTCAGTGGTTTAAGGAGATGGCTATCAACCATTGGGTCATGAGTTGGAGCACCGCTCCACCTACCTAGTTTTGGGCAACCAGATGTTATCACTGTGACTCACTGCCTATTGCACGGATGTGCACAAAGTGACTGAGTGGGTTCGTTCGTTTCATTTTCGTAAAACACGTGACGTAATAATTATTTTACCTGCAGCTGAAGGAGCTTACTTGAAGAATTACACTTGACTTACTATATACTTTCATTGTTAATTTATCGTGGTCATCACAGTATTAAGGTATGTTTGAGTACTTAACTTCCAAATATTGTTTGTAGCAACAACTTCCTTAGTATCTAATAATTGGGAAGCAGTTAGACTTTATTTCAACCTGTCAAAAAATTTTTACCGAACAGATTTAGTAGTCTAAGTTTTCGTCGCGTTTTTTTCAGTACACAATACAATTCCCCTAATGAAAAAAATATGACCTTCGTGGTTGTGATGTTGTCTATATGATGACCATGTCTTTAAGCAACTCACTGAATTCGCTTATTCCAAGTAATCTGAATAATTTCTCTAACTGAAGAGACTAGTAGCCTGTTTCTTTAGCTTCATTCTTGCTTAACTCTTAAGCTAATCGGGATTTTGAAATTATAAGCGCTCTCAGATATTCTGTGCTTATCATTTAATTGTTACTATCAGTATGGTGCTATAGTACTAAATCACTCTGAAAGATCCACAGTAATACAACATTTTTTTCTTTATATACAAAAATTGTTATCAGAATAATGAATTCTTATCGACTAACAAATGCCTGATTACAGGTTGGTATTCATCATGAACTGATATCAGTTGGGATAACTGGATGAGCGTGTCGTCCTAGTATGGGAATGCGCAGCAGTGCGCATCCATGACTCCACCAGGGGTCGAACCCAGGATCTTCAGGTTCAGGACGAAACAGCTGTCCAGTGCTCTCAGGCTTCCAGTGTCTCTGCAGCCGATGCCATTCAGTAATGAATACCAACCTGAAATCAATAAATATATCGCCCCAAAACCTTCAAATACAAATATCTGATTAGTATGATTTCTTACTTTGTAATCGATACTGTAGAGTATCGTGATTTGTTACATTCTGAAGCTAAGGTCATCATCCTCATTTATTTCTTGAGAATTTAGCCTTCCATTTTGACAGCTATTTTATTTGTTCCATGGGCATGGTGTTTTCAAATGTAGCGAAAATGGAAATTTATTGAGAGACTGAGAGAGATGAGTAATGAATATGTTGTTGTCCGCATTTCGTGAGGATCGATTTAGTTCGTTCGTACAATTCGGTGTCATCATCAAAAACAGCACATTACACTCACACACATCTATTAACTTAATAATAGAGTCGAAATTTAGTGTATGTTATCATGGTAACAAGAAACATATTCAGTAAAGTCGTGTTGTTTATAGTAAATCTTTCATTGGTTCGGTCTCCGTTACTGCATCAAAAGTTGCTTTCAAATATTAAATTGCTGTTTTGACTCATCAGTAATTTCAACTGAAAAGTAATCAAAAGACGTAAATCACCGAATAATAGCAGTTCGTTACTCAAATCAGTTAAGTTGAATGAGTAGAATGGAAATTTGCAAATTTAGTAAACAAGCTTTTATACACCACCTTGCCATATTTGGCTAACTTAGCATCTTATTGAACATATAGCTACCAGGGTAATCACATAACATTCAGGGTTGTTATTGACAAGTAGAAAGGTAGAAAACTCGTAGGGTCGATGTTGCGATTCCTACCGGATTGGATCTTGTGTACTATTGGGAGCGTGTAGCTAATTGATACTTTCTGGCTGTCCATATCGTGGAAGGTCAGTTCTTCTTGAGGTACCTGGAAAGCAAGAGATAGTGTGTGTCCATCGAGTCCAAGGAACATCTTCTTGAGACTGGTCATACACTGTCTTTTGGCATGTTCAGGATTTTGGTTTCTTGCTTTCGAATCCCTGTTGCAGGCATCGGGGTGCCACGGGGTAATGGTAGTGTGCTATTTTGCGGGGGACCTTTCCTAACCCCCCTCCCCATAGAGAAGACAACACCAGCGTGGGACTACTGGTCATCGAAGGGAAACACTTTACCACTGTCACACCCCATCCAGCTAGCAGCAGCATGACTTTTCCCTCAGACCCCCATCATGGCGTGGCAATTTACACTATAGTGGTAACTGTTTTTTGTCCAACCACTATCTAACAGACTCCTCTGGTATGGTAGGACCTTGAGAGAACAAGTGTTCTGCTAGAAAAGCTCGTTGGGTTATTATGATGTACTAGCCTGACCAACACGTCCTGGTAGCAGTTATACTTTTACATCTCAACAGGATTAGTTCTTTGACATAAATCAAACAGCCTTCGAAGTATTCAGAAGTTAAGCGAGTCTTAGTAGTTGCTTTCGTAGATTGTCTTAACCGATGTAGTAAACATTCATATGATTTATGTGTAAGTAATATACTATGGGACCTTAACTTTTTCACATGGCCGCTATCTTTTGCTTTGTAATTCATTCAATTTGTGCGAAGCTAACTATCATTGTATACTTATTGCGCGATGTAATATGCTTAAAATCCTAGTGATAATATTCATATACTAGCGAGATTATTTTCCATATGTATAACAACATTCAACTCTATTCCATTCTTTCACCAACGATTCAGACAGCTACAGTCATATCCGGTCGAAAAAGGGTTTGATGTTTTGCCTATCATATTGTTATCCTTTTGTGTTCACGTTAACATTGATTTCATTTGTTTGTTCTAGAATATTTGAATCTCAGAGTTACTTAATTGTTACTTTTGGAAACATTGATACATTAAAGTTTTTTTGGTTTACTTTCTCGTTGAATTATTTTCCTCTACGGTAAGAACAGTGCCGACTTTCTTGTTCGACTCTGTTTTGTTTTTGACAAACTAGGTTTCATTATTATTATTATCATCATTATTATTGTTATTTTTCCCTTGGGTTCCTAGTGGAACAAAGGGACTCAGTAGCACGCCTCTATTGCCCTCTCTTCTCTGGAGTCTTTTGGATCTGGCACCACGACTGCCCACAAGCTTTCATTTCTTCCTCACATCATCTTCATGTCACCCACGGCTCGGACGCCCAACTCATCGTTTCCCATTTGGGTTCCACTCGAGGGCCTGGAGGGTAATGTCCCCAGTCTGCCTTCTCAGTGTATGCCCAATCCATCTCCACTTGCTTCTGCATATTTGTTAGGCGATGGGTTCTTGGTTGGTTTGTTGCCAGGCCCTAGTTCCTTGTCGCTTATTCTTCCTGGTCATCTGAGCGTAGGCGGCAGCTGTTGAAGAATGTCTGTAGTTTGTTGGGAGTGTTTTTCGCAACGCGCCAAGTTTCTGAACCATCATATAGAAGCACTGACTTGACGTTGGTGTTGAAAATCCGGATCTTTGTGGTGAATACAGTCGATCTCCACAGTGATTTCAGATTAATGAAAGCCTATCTTGCTTTTCCGATCCCGGTTTTGACATCCTCATCGGTGCCTGCGCCGCCTGTACTTGAAACAATGTTTCCTAGGTAAGTGAAAGAGACCACTTCTTTAAGGTTTCTCCTGTTAATGGTGATTGATGCTGTTGTTGGTTGGGTATCTTCATCACCTCTATTTTCTCTACATTCCCTTGAAGTCCCGTCTTCACTGCCCTGCCTCCTCTGTCAACTTGTTAGTTTTCGCCTGTAGATCTTTGAGTTTGTGCGACATTAAAGATAAATCATCGGCTAAATCCTAATCTTCTAGTGTCTTTTCATCGGTCCAGCCAGCGTATGCCCCTCTTCTCGCTCCTCACGGTTTGCTGCATGACCCAGTCGACCACAATCAGGAAGATTATTGGTGATAGTAGGCAACAACCTTGTCTTATTCCTGTCTTTACTTCAAAGGTGTCACTGAGCTTTCCATTGTGGATCACTTAGGTTTCATTATCTTCAATGTTAAATGTGCATACATTTAGAAAGGTTACCAGCTGTGTTTATAGGTCGTAATTTTGACAGCTTCCTATTTCTGCCTTTTAAAAAGTCATCATTACTATTATGGTGATGATACAGGAAATTTAAACCTTTCATAATTTGTCGCTTGAATTCATTTTTAATTTTATGGTTAACTGTCCTACTGAAACTTGGTTTATCAAACGAAAAACATGACAGCTTTGAATAGTACCAAATCCAAGATAACTTTCTGTTGATTTGGCTATCTAGACTGAGCGTTCAGATTATATTGTCCTCGACATTTTATTCCAGTTGGATTCCATGTGTCCTCGGTTACTACTCAGTCGTTATATATTTGGGATGTAGCATTATTCTTTATAAAGTGACTCAATCAGGTGGTTGCCGGGAAATTACTACGGTGAATATTTTCGCAATTTAGTTTATCTAACAATATGAAGTATATTCTTGTCTGTGTGGTAAAATACTACTCTTTTCCCATTTTTTTCATATTTATCTAGCGTGCTTCACTGTGTCGTACCAGCTCTTCTGGTTCCGTATCAGCGAATGGAAAAACGACTATAATCAATCCCAAAAATAATCGATCTTTGAGGAATTTAGGTATCGGGGGTTTTCGTGCAAAACCGAATCGTTGGCAACAAGTACGTTTTCAGCAGTTCGTTACTGTCACTATAAGGATTTTACAGTTTCGTCTAATTATAGTTTTACAATGTTGCTTTTTTCTTTTCTTACCTAAGACATTTACTTTTGCCTATCTTAAATGTAGACAAAAAAGATACAACTCGCTGCAGCATCTGACCCTTTTGTTGGTCCACCAACATCAGATAATAAGCGTCGCCGTCAAAGCAAAAAGAAATCTCAGTTGGAAGATAATTACCCTGACTATTTAATGAAAGCTTTCTATGGCACAACTTTACTTCTAGCCAAAAGGAAACCATTGCGAAGAAAGAAAAACCGTCTTCGTCCAAATGCATCATCGAATACATCTTTAGGGGGCACTGAGTCTACTGGTGGAACCAAACAGTTTAAAGGTCAATTTTCTCCTTCATTTCGTTCATCAAAACTGATAAAGGTGAGGAGTCAGTAATGAAGTTTTACTATATCACTTTCGTAAATCAGCTATTGGATATTTTTGCTGGCATTAATATATTATTGTATTTTCCTTATGTAGAGTGGTGCACTTGGGAAGAAAAGTAATATTGCTCGTCTTGGCAATCGGCATAAATCAGATGATTCAGGTCTTGATACCGAATGGATGGAATCAGGATTAAAGAATGAAGAATCAGAAATTGCGGCTGAAGAACTAGATGAAGAAGATGATATTGATGATGGGGATGAAGAATATGACGAAGAAGATGATGTCGATGGAGATTTGTGTGGTTTCGATGAACTGAAAGATCTTGAAGATGAAATGGACAACGATGCACTGGATTTGGAAGAAGATGAAGACTTAACGGCTACATTAAACCCAGCTACACATCAGTTAACTGAAAGGGTTTCCGAGTTAAAAATGACTGAGGGCTTTGTTGACTCAGATGTAATACGGACACAATCAGACAGTACACAGGCTAATAGTATAGATGATAGTGTTTCTCGAGAATCTTTTGCACCTAATTATACTACTAGTCAAACTTCATCGTCCAAATCTCATGTTTTAATCAATTCTGGCGCTCGTGATAACTATCGATTAACTCCGTCGGATACCATACAGCTTAGTCCAAAGCCTCAAAATGGGGTTACTGCTTTGGATCCATCTACAGATCCCATTCCACCTCAACAAGATCATGTTTCAAGTGTTCTTCACTCCTCGAACAAGGAACTTGATCCACATGTTGAATTGTCGTCTACTCATTCCCCACAAAAACAATCTTCAAACCTATCTGTGACCACTGGTGTTACAGGGCAAACTGTTAATTCAATACCACAAGCTGCTACACCGACTGGTGAGTTCTACTAGTGTATGTTGATACTTCTCTTTCTGAATACATATCATCATTGAAGGTTGATACAATGTGATATGTTCGATTGTGGGCACTTGAACTATAACCTTCAGATTCTATGTCTGAAGGTGCCTAGTTCCTCGAAAGTGGAACAGATGGAAAGGTGAAGTACTTTATGCTTATAACAAAGTTATAATTCTGAACTTATTTACTGTTTTTCTGAGTCATATTGATTAAATGTTTTTCTTTTTTTAAAATATTAATATCAGGTTTAAATGAAGCTGCTGACCTTATGTTTATGGATGATTACTTGTTTGGATTTGGAGACTTGGCGACAACTGACGAAACTGATTTAAATGATATCACACCTCAACAAGTGTCTACAGATCATGTAACGACTCATTTACAAAATCCTAACCAATTGCCAGTAGAGCATATACCAAAAAATCAATTGAAGGAGTCGGTATCAAATGAAGGTTCAGCTCATGTTTCATTCATCCACTCTCAAAATAATCAACATTCTCAATCTTCCGAAAACTTTTCAGTTTCTGAGAAAGTTGCCTATCAGTCTCAACTTTCAGAGTCTGTGAGAATGAAAGAACCTATAAGTTCTGAAGAAATATGTTTAAAACAATTTGTTGCACAACAAGATCTAATCAGTTCACCATTCGACAATCAGAGTCAACAGCATCATCTTCCTCTCGTTAACAAATCTCATTATCAGAAAGCACTATATGTAGGTTACTCATCATCTACTTATCAGCAAATCATTGAGGATCAGCATCCTCGAAACGTTCAACATACTGTACTTTCAGAATCACAACAGTCTAATCTGACTAATCAGGAACAACAGGTTTGTCAACGTGTTTTATTTTAAAGAACACTAGTAAATTTATGTACTGACACTTGTAATTTGTTGTTGTTATACCCACTGCACATAAAGTGGCTCTTGTGTATAAGTCTAGTGGATAACGCTTTGTTGCCTGAAGTGATGATTGTGGAGTTCGATTCTCAGTGGGATATATCATCACTCACTGGAATACAACTACTTCCCACTGACGAGTCTCAAATACACAAGTCCTGGACTCCACCACTAATCATCATCAAGCAAATTATAACTGGTAAATTTGTTAAGGTGATCACTGCAGAAATAATAAAAAAAAAAAAAGAAAATTTTTACTATTTTGGCAGATAAGTTGATAGGACCGTCAACTTGAACCAAGAAATCATTTGGTTGTCGAATCTTCAGTTAATTTCTTTTCGAATATCATTACTTCTTTGAATTGTGACAATAAAATGATCAGTACAATGATGTTGGGATTTCTTAATTATTGCCTGATGAAATAAATTATTGTCATGAGAATTTGAAGTTGCGTTTTATTTGACCATCATTATATCATCCATTGTTGACAGTACTTGCAGATTTATCAGTTTTTGATGTATCATTTTAATACCTGATCGATTTAAATTTTCTACTTTTAGGTCCGTAAAATAGGATCACAGTCAATTCATGATCCTGCTGATACTTCGTTGAATCAGTTGGTTGATTCTGTTGATGTATGCCATCCAAATAGTGCAATAATGAATGCATACAACTTGCCTTCTCGTGACACTTCTAGTAGTCATGATCCTGGCTCTTCACGAAATGTTTCTGTACCACATCCTCGTCATTGTGTCAACACGCTGACAGGTAATCTACCTGAATTATCTGTTAGTGATATTGAGACACAACTTGGACCTTCAACAGGTTTTGAGCTTAATGAACCCACTTTAGCCGATGATAGTCCAAAATCAATAATACCAAATGCTGCATTCAGTAATGATTTGAGCACAACACCACCACCGTCTGAAATATCTATTCAACGTTTACCCCAACAACGTCAAAATATAATTCACATAGATCCTGATCCTATTCGTCAACCATATTCTCAACGTTCTGTAGAACAGTGTCGGGAATATCAAGCAAGCAACCAACAAGTTAATATTCAACAACATCAAATTTCTCGACCTTCTCTAGTTCCGGTTCCTATTCCTCAGAATCAAGTCAGACCAATGCAACAGCAGCATGTGGATTCTCAGGGTACGTCATACGTTTACTACTTATTGTTTCTTGTTCAATTCATCTTGCATTATACACCTGTTGTATAGCCTTGCCAAATATAATGGAAAATTTCCAGATATTTTTTTTAACAAAAGCTCGTTATCTAGAGTGAATAGTTGTGGGAAATCAAGCAGTACTCTAATATCTCCAGAGTGTCTTAATGTTCATGATTCTAGTTCATTTTTTTTGTATTAAAGTCCCGAAGTCAGATTTGATTATTTTTCTTGCTCATGTTTCTTACTGTTACTTTCATTCATATTAATTGGTCGAAAGAATAGCCGTAATCTGAATTTGTTTCCTGTATGGTCACGGATTCGAGCACCGCTCCACCTATCAAGATTTGGGCAGCCAGATAGTATCACTAGCCTTCACACGATAGGTGCACGAGTATGCATAAGGTTGCTGAGTAGGACTTTTTTGCTTTCTTTTTTGTTTCTTGTGTTATATTTAAATATCAGATTACAGATATATATAATTGGCAACCTTTGAATGCGATGGCTTTCGTAAAAAGCATTTTGATATGGTAATTGCGTTTTTTATGTTTGGCACATTTATATAATCATAATTCTAATTAATGTGGTAATGTTTTTTTTTTACTAGGACCGTGATGTTACTATCCCCTCAGTTACTTTTTTGTTTTGTAGGTGGTCGAGTACAACTAAGAGGTTCACAACCATCATATTTTTATGCACATGTTGTTCCTGTTCCTGGGCGTGTTTTAACTCAGTCCCAAAAGCAGCAACACCAACAGATTCAACGTCAGTCTAGTTCACCTATTGTTTTGCAAAGCCCAGTTCCCCAGCAGGTACAACAACAGCATCTCTCAATGGTAGGGGGGCATGGAAAGTTCATCTCTCAGCCTTTACAACCCAAGTCTCCTAACACAATGACTCCCCCACCTCCACCACCATATCCTTCTCAGGTAATAAGACCAGGAATGTGGCAGCAGCAGCAGCAACAACAACAGCCTCATTCTCGTTTGATTTCTTCATCCAACCAAGGAGCTATTATGCTTTCTGCAACTGGACAATGCATAGTTCCTCAAGCTTCAAATTCGGCTCAGTTACTGATGTCTCCTCCACAATCAAATGTACCCATGGATGCACAACAGATTATTCCAGTTTGCTGTCAGCCGAATACTCCAGTTGAATACATACAGCGTTCGTGTGTATCACATCCTGTGCATAGTTCTGGTGGCCTTCAGCGAACTCCTCCAACACAACAAATGATTTTACATGGTCAACCAGTACATGTTTATCAAACTGATCATGTTACTCCGCCTAACTGTCGACAGTTCACAGGTCATCCTGGTACATTATCTCCACATGGTCCATCTGGTGTTCTACGTTTTAATAGTGGCTCTGAGGAAGTAATTCTGAGATGTTCTACGGAACTTCAGAGTCATACTAACATGCTTAATCCAAGTAAGCAGTTTCTCAAAAACTTTTGATTTACTTCCTATCATGTTTTTTCCCAGATATCATTGTGTAGTTTGAATCTTACATTTCTGATTCTGATTCTGTATGTCTGTTGTTTTGTGGATATATTTTCAAAATATAACTAGCACGAATGACTTAGAAATTGTTTTCATCAAAATGAAGGATGTTTCTCAGTAAGATGAATTACTTAATCGTGTACCAAATTTATTTTCCATGTCGTATAGATAGTTTTGTTTATACTCCATTATACTGTTTATTGTTCATTTGATTGACATTGACAAAATCAACGTAGAACTTTGCATACAAGTGCATCGGGTCAAGTTTCCACACTTCACAGTAGTATACAAAGAACAGATCAACAGAAAAAGTGATGTCAAAATAGACAAAGTTGTCTGAGAGAATAAACCACTTGAACATAAAGATTAGTGTGAATATATAAGCTTTAGAAGATGTCAAGGAGTGAAATACACTCCTGCACCATTGTGAACAATTTTCAGTCATATCATCAAGATGTCTAAATCTCTGATTCCTTTCGTATTGGAGACCCCAACCAGGCAGTCTACATCTCCCCAACACGCCTCAGGTCAACAGTCAGTGACTTCATCGAGTGGTGCCGGGTCTTGATCTGGTCACTCTGAACTCTTCTAACCTAATTCAACTTACCTTAGCTTGGCATGCACAGTACATGTCGAAGCTACTTCAGTCGACTAGGATTCACAGACTCATTAATCGACTTGTCTGTCTTGTCCAGTACCCTTCGCCTTACCTCAACATTGCTCACTCAGTGATTCCACCAAACGTGAGCAGTGCTACGAAGTCACCTGCGATCAAAACCCTGTAATCGCTTCATGTTGTGTACTTTCAACAGCCACGTCTTACAGCCATACAACAGGACAGAACAAACTTCACAGCACTGTACTCGTCCTTCGATAGACAGTTGGATATCTCCCTAGTCGGGGTCTGAGATGACGCAACTTGACAAATGCCAAACGGGCCTTCTATAACTGAACTAAGATATCGTCATTCAGATAAAAGTCTACAGTTTTGTATGCACTTTGTGTTTAATATTAAGCTAACAAGTTAGCAGAAGAGACAGCGAAAGAAGACGGGACTCCATGTGAACGTAGAGAAAATAAAGGTGATGACGATACCCAACCAACAACAAGCACCAATCACTATGAACGGGAGGAATCTAAAGGAAATTGTCTCTTTCACCAACTATATGCGGCACAGGCACTGATGAGAATGTCAAAGGCGGGATCAGAAAGACAAAAAGACACGTCTTCATTAACCTGAAATCAATGTGGAGATCTACTGCGCTCCACTTCATTCAGCATAAAGCGTAAACAACATCCGGATTTTCAACATTAAGTCAAACTAGTAAGTCAGTGCTTCTATGTGGTGGTTGAGAAACTTGACGCGTCACGAAAAGCATTTCCAATAAACTCCAGACATACATCATCAACAGTTGCCGTCTACGCTTGCTCACTAGATACTGATACTAAAGATCAGATGGATGGGCAGAATAATAAGAATGAGCAACAAGAAACTCTGGCTAGCTGGCAATGAACCAACCAACAATCCATCACCTAACAAATACGCAGAAGAAGAAAATGGAGATGGATAGACTGAAAAGACGGTTTGTGGACATCACGCGTCAGGCCAGGTCAGACCCTCGAGTGGAACCCAAAGGTGAAAGGACGAGTGCGGTGTCCGAGGCGAGGGTGATATGGAGGAGATGGTGTGAGGAAGAAATGAAAGGCTGTGGGCAGTTGTGGAGCCAGGTTGAGCAGACTGGAGAGAAGAGAGTGAAATGGCTACGTGCTACGGAATCCCTATTTTCCACTGGGAACCCAAAGGACAAATAATAAGTAATAATAATTGTGCTTAATATTGCTTATTTGCTTTTCCAACTTTAAAATGTAGGCGAAATACATGAGTTTAACTGAACAAATGGAGAAGAAGTAAAAACTATAGTCAGTTTATTTGTTCTGATAAAGCCAGCTGACTTCAGAAATCATGGAAGTCTCTAGATTTCATTTGGAAATGTGATTGTGTATAGATCATTGTTTAATATAAAGTGGAAGTAGCTGTCAGTTTCAACTTATATGGTAATTTTCATGATGACGTTTTGTGATTCATTCACTTGAACTACTCTATTGTTCTGACTGCATTATTATTATTATTATTATTATTATTATTATTATTATTATTATTATTGTTATTATATTCAATTTATTTCAGATTCGTTGAGATCACCCAGTGTTGAAGGAAACGCTCATCATGTTGTTTTAAACCGTCCAAATCAAGCAAATTTGCTGTCTTGTACAGGGTCAAACACTTCGCAAATGTGTTTATCGGGTTCTAGTTCTAATACATCGAATTCGGCAAGCAGGCGAATTAATTATCATAAATGGGAAGAAGATGAACGACTTGGTGGTCAGTCAACAATAGCTCCAGTGTTACACGCAAATATCTCGCATCCTACCCTACGAGGTCAGTATCCAGAATTCACTGTTCGTGCTAAGGAAATAAGTAAACTCTGGCGTAGACTTTCTAGTGAAGAACGTGGAACCTGGGTGGTAAGTGGTTATAAATTCTTATTAGCGATATAGTTCATGTTTATGTCATACTTTCTGGTATTTAGTTTTAAATGTGTTTTTTTTTAATTCCAAGAGTAACTTCATATCTGTTCACCTGGTTTACAGATGCAAGCTCGAAACAATCGGACAACGTTACGTTCCAATCAAACTAATATTCCTGCAACTATATCTTCTGGAGCAAGTGGTAACGCAATATCACCTACACAACAGTACTTTCAGTCTAGTGCTTTAACAGATCAAGTAATGCCTTCAAAATCTGGATCAGAGGTGTCGTATCCTTTAGAATCTCCTACACCTTACAGTCGTCCTCAAAGTCACACACCTCATCATATTCAATCTGAACAGCAACAAATGATTGCACACTCTCCACAACAGAATCATCATCACCATCAACAGCCAAATGATATCCAACAGCAACAAAAACTACCGAATCAACCATCTCAGCAGCAGCTACAGAGTCACCACCAGCAGCATGTTATTCAAGTTAAAGAAGTGCACAGATCATTGACTCCTGATAGCTCAAATATTGACTACATTCAAGATCGCATTATGCCATCGCATATGCTTTCGGCTAGTGGTGGAGTTGATTCCGGTGTTGCTCATCATCCTTCTATGTGTAATCAAATGATAACCAAGGTGGTTGCTTTTATGTATTATTCGCTTATATATTAGTTTTTGGTAGATTAGTATCAGTTTTGAAAAGTATTTTTAAAGCGTACTCCATACACTAATTTATCACTTATCTAGTCTTCGAATAAGGATAGAAACTCCAGTTTCTGAAGTCTTAAACCTTATATTGTCATCAGAAACTAATATTTTGTATACACTACAGTGATTGTTATGAATAGTTTCCGAGGTATTCATTTGATTTTCTCTAGTAATCGTATCAGGCGGAGAACTTTACTCTCGTTAGTTGTTAGATACACCCGGTAATTCTTTGCTTACTGACTAAGCGTTAGCATCTAATTTATTTACATATATGGTACGGCTGGGGCACCAAGAAATGTGCCACATAAAATGATATTATAACAGTATGAAGGCGTAAGGCGTTGGGAGGTGGTTAAGTAAAAAAGAAAGATACTATAAGAACAAAATGATTAGAAGGACAGTCCAATAAGATACATTCAAAACAAAACATGCATTACTTTTCAACAGCAGAAGATAGAAGGAAGTTATAGCATTACCGCCCTTGGTTTGGATTCTGAGCCATATCTGATAATGTCTCAAACCACTGGGTTGCGTGATCTCTCGAACCCCACCCAGGGAGTCGTGATACACCAACAATTGCTAATCTTATACAACTATCCTTCGCTCCTTAACGCCACGTCATAAACTGAACACTTCCGCTTCCTCCCCTCAGTCCCAGGGCTAGCAAAAATGTGCGGTATGGAAGCCGTCGGGACGAAATGCCTAACACATGTCCAAGCCACCGAAGCCAGTGTTTCCAGATGACTTCCTTTATTAGGTGATGACCTCTATCATGCCCAAACACATGGTATGGTACCTCAGGATTGCTTACATGGCATTCCCACTGGGTATGCACAACCCTACGGAGATAACGATGATTGAACGCACAGAGTCATCGTACGTCCTCAGCTCGGAGAGGCCAGGTTTCACAGGGTTATTAAGGTATTTTGAACCAAACCTTTTTAATCGAATCGATGATATCACCATTGAAAGGCATAGAAGTTAAACTGATATCCATCCTATTCATAGGTAGTCGAGCGATGCGACACAACACTGCACATTTTGCTAAACAATACAACTCTAGGACGTAGATACTGGAAGTATACTATTATTATTATTTGTCCCCTGGGTTCCTAATGGAACATAGGGCTTCAGTAGCACGTCTCCAGTGAACTCTGTTCTCTGAAATCTTTTGAACCTGGCTCCACGACAGCCCAGAAGCTCTCATTACCTCCTCGCACGATCTCCTCCATGTCACCCTCAACACGGACGCCCAACTCGTCGCTCCCCACCTGGGTTCCACTCGAGTGCCTGGCCTGACGCGTGATGTCCCCAGTTGGCCTTCTCAGTGTATGCCCAATCCACTTCCACTTCCTTCTGCATATTTGTTGAGCGATGGGTTCTTGCTTCGTTGGTTCGTTCCCAGAGCTCCTTGTTACTTATTCTTTCTGGCAATCCATCTGATCTTCAGTAGCGAGCGTAGTCAGTTGTTGATGAATGTCTGTAATTTATTGGAAATCCCTTTCGTAACGCGCCAAGTCTCTGAACCATACAGAAGCACTGACTTGACGTTGGTGTTGAAAATCCGTATCTTGTTCCGCATGCTGAGTGCAGAAGATCTCCACACTGGTTTCAGACTAATGACGGCCTGTCTTGCTTTTCCGATTCCGACTTTGACATCCTCGTCTGTGCCTGTGGCGCCTGTAGTTGAAACAGTGCTGCCTAGATAGGTGAAAGAGGCTACTTCCTTCAAGTTTCTCCCGTTGATGGTGACTGGAGTTTGTTGTTGTTGTTAGAGTTGTTGGTTGGGTAACTTCATCACCTCTGTCTTCTCTATATTCACTTGAAGTCCCATCTTCGCTGCCCTGCCTCGCCCCTACTGTCAACTTGTTAGTTTTCGCCTGTAGATCATCAAGCTTGTGTGACATCAGACACAAGTCATCACTGGCCAAATCCAAGTCTTCCAGGTTCCTTTCCGCAGTCCAGCCAGCGTATCGCCCTCTTCTTGCTCCACACTGTTTGTTGCATGATCCAGTCGACCACAATCAGGAATATCATGGATGATAGTAGGCAGCCTTGTTACACTCCTGTCTTCACTTCACTTCAGTGGCATCACTGAGCTTCCCACTGTGAATTACATGGCATGTGGTATCTCCATACAGTTGGTGAATGCGGCTGATAAAGGTTTGTGGTATTCCGTAGTATTGAAGCAGCTTCAAAATTACTTCTTGGTCGACGCTGTCGAACGCCTTCTCAAAGTCGATGAAGTTGAGGTGTAGAGTCGACTGTCATTCTATACTCTGTTCTATGATGATGCGTTGCGTTGCAATTTGGTCCACACATGATTTGTATTTCCTGAATCCAGCCAGCCAACCTGTTCCGGTCATAGTTTTGAATCCAGTGCATCTTCAAGCCTCTCCAGGATGATGCAGCTTAATATTTTGCTTGGTGTGGGTGGATAGGAGAGTGATTCCACGCCAGTTCTTGCAAACACTGAGGTCTCCCTTCTTCGGGAGTTTGACAAGGTAGCCCTTCTTCCAATCAGTGGCCAGGTACCTTCTCTTCCTTCCACACCTTCTGCAATAGTGGTGTGGTGTGAGCATGTCCGCTATTGTCTCTGCATCTGTCCTCAGTGCTTCTGGCGGGATCCCATCTGGTCCTGCTGCTTTCCTGCATTTCAGCATCTTAATGGCGTTCAGGACTTCACTTCTGCTTTTGTCGGAGGGCTTGTATTCACTGGTAGTTCAGCGGCTGTAGGTGGTATTTGTTGACGAGTTACAGGTAGTGGTCGATTCAAGAGTATTTTGAAGTGGTCAGCCCATCGTTCCCTCTGTTTCCCTTCTTTCGTAATTAAATTTCCGTCATCACCTTTTATTGGTTTCGTCTGCGTTGATCTCTTCCCTGCCAGATAGCAACCTGGTTATTTGATACAATGTTGTCAGGTCTCTGTCTCTCCTCCCTGCAGCCTGTTCTGCTTCGCTTGGAAGTGTATCGTAGAAGTGTCTTTTGTCTTTCCGTGCACTCTTCTTCACTTCTTTGTCCAGTGTAATGTTTTATACCTTGTACTCAGTTCCTCTTGTCGTTGAGCATCCTTGCACTGCACTGGTTAATCTTCTGCTTCACCATCCTCCTCTCCCTCCTTTATCAGCTTCCATGTATCCATTGAGATCCATTTCCTGTCCTGTCTTCTTTCTTCTTCCTTCTTAATACGGCTGTGTAGGTTTCTTTCCACATCTCTTTCAAAGACTTCCAGTGTTCTTCCACACAGGTTTCTTCAGGGATGTTCCTCGATATCTCCCATTTTGTCTTGATTTCCTTTGTAGTTTCGTCCTTCAGTTTCTGAGTGTTGTACTTGGACTGCGGTCTATCACCAGCTTCCTTGAAGACTTTTAACTTGATTTGGAAGGTTCGTTGCACTAGATAGTGGGTAGTGTGAACCCACATCTGCTCCTCTTCTTGACCTTGTGTCAAGTAGACTGCGTCTCCACTTTCTTGAGATTGAGATAAAGTTGATGTGATTTTTAGTGTCTCCTGGCGTCTGGTGAGATCGAATCCATGTGGCTTTGTGGATATCCTTATGCTTGAATTCAGTGCCTCCAATCACCAAATCGTTGAATGCATAGAATTCTGCAAACAATTCGCCATTCTCGTTCATCACCTCACCGCGCGCTTCTCGACCCATGATTGATTCTCTTCCTGTGTTGTCCACTCCCAGTTTGGCATTCATGTCACCGCGCCCGTTAGAATTTTGATATCGCCACCTGAAGTGGTGTCTTGTCCAGTGTTGATTGCAGTTGTCTATAGAATTCCTCCTTCTCTTCATCTGCCTAACTATTTGTATGTGAACAGCGTAGCATTGTATGATTGTGACTCCTTCATTTTGAGTTGAACCTTGGTGTCATGATCCTGCAGGAGGACATTGGTTCCCACTGCATGAGAGACTTCGGTGCTCTTCAAGGGGACATCATGATAGCCACTCCAACACTCAGTGTGCTGTGCTCGTGGTTGTCGTCTGGGTGACAATATCGGAGTAGATTATTGATTCGTCTCCAGTTGACAGTTTGGAGAGTCCACTTCCATTCCATCTACTTTTGCAGATTCCAAGCACTTCAATGTGATACCTCTTCATCTCGTTTGCAATTTGGGCAGCCTTGCTGGGTTCAAACATGGTGCGGATATTCCATGTCCTCATTCTTACTTTCGTATTCATCGGGAGAGAGAGAGAGAGAGAAGATGCATCAGCCAATTGTCTTCCTGAAGGCAGGCTTTCACCAACTGGTGTCATTTCGCCTCTCCGATTCTAGCGAGGAATAATTTTGTTATTATTTTTTATATATCGTTTGTGCTTTGAAGTTTGTTTAGCGGTTAGATTTGTTTTACGGGTTAGGGTTGTTAGCCCTATACCCAACCTTCGTTCTTTATCCGGGCTTAGGACCGGTTAGTAACTAGTGAACTAGTTAACCAGGCGAGGTTACTGTAGTTTGTATCTGGTGTTTAAAAAGTATCTAAACTGATGCGTTGCTATGATTCATTTAAAGTAGAGGCTACTCATGTATCATAACACTTTTTTTGTCATGTTTATCATGATAACCAGTAGTTGCTTTAAAAAAGGTAATGCCTCCATTTTTTATATATTTGTGGTGATAGCATGGACACATTCTATATATGTTAGCTTTTTGTTCAACCATAAATTCTAATAAGTGGTAGATATTTTCTTAACTGAGTATGGTTTTGAGAAAGTAACTTAGCTTGTAGCCCATTGGTTTACGGAGATCACCTTCAGGTAATGGGCTACGGGTTCGTGCCCCGCTTCACCTATCGAAGTTTAAGCAACCAAGTAGTATCCACTGGCCTCCATTCAATAGGTGTGAATTAATGCCTACTGCACGAATATGCACAAGGTTACTGAGTGCATTTACTATATATATTTTTAAGTATAATTTCGAAAACCGTTTTTTCAGAATGGTAGGTAAAAGTTATATAACTCAACATGGTCCGTGTCTATGTACTGGGTTATGAGCCACAGTTGTTGTACCAGGTCATGGAATACTGTCCTGCCGCCCAAGCCGAAGTAGGTGGAGTCTAATTCACTGCTTGGAAATTGAGTTTCTAGACCACCGAGTCACACATTATTACAGGTTGATATACTATTTGGGTTGATCTAGAGTAACTTTTATTCGCTTTTCGTTGATTTTTTCCTACAGGCCTCATCAAACCAAAGTTTGTCGTATGTTAACCCTGAAGTGAATACATCTGGAAGTATTCCGCCACACCAGCACAATCAGCAGGCGTTAGGACTAACCACTCCCTCTCCATGTCAGTCTTATTTGGCATCACCCGTGAACTCCAGACCATCATCTCGCCACCAGACATCTTTACCACCCCCTCCTCCAATTTGGCCGCCATCAGGAAATATGAATTCTATCAGTGCGGGATCTGCTGGTGTGAATTCACCCAGTAATTTAAAGCAACCAACTCCACCACCTTCCTCTTGTTCGTCAATGTCTCCTGCACCACTAAGATCACCTGCTTCAATGCATGCTCCCACTCCTACTTCTTTCCATGCACCACATCCATATCCTCCACATGGTACAAGCTCGTTAACAAGTCCAGTACAGTCACCTATTCCTCCCCAATCCCCTTCAAATGTGAGTCAATTGATGAGGAATAGCACCGCGGGAACAGTTACACCTTTGCCGTCACCACATCCATCTCCTCTTGCACAGTCTCATCATTCAGGTTTACCTAGTGGTCATCACCTTCCATCACAAGTAAGTTGAGCGCTTTAATAAAGGGAATTGCAAAATAATTAACTGTTAGGTTAGTTTGTGAAATACTTTGTAAAACCTTTACAAAAAATTCATGTAGTGAATAGTATTCACCGTGATTATTAGTTCCTCAGTGTTACTGCTCAGAGAGTAGTTTCTGTTAATATGTTTAGACCTTGATCATTAACCTGAGTTAATAATTGCTTATACCGGATGAAAACATTTCTCAGGACGAAGTGCTAACTTTCATAATGTAATGGAGACAGTATTCTATCCTATTTCATTCTACATACATAGTTCATAGAATTGTGATAGGACTTCGTATCCAAAATCAGGTCTTCTTGTGTTTGAGAAAGAGATTTCTTAGTATCATCGTCCTGGCCGGCAGCTGCTACCTTGGCGTGGTGGTGAGGCCTGCGTATCATGATGACCCAACGAACTTTGCTGGTGAAACCCTTGTTCTCCCGAGGTCCTACCATACTAACTAAGTCTATTGGATAGTGATAAGATGAGACCCAACCAAACATAACCTGTCCCCCTTCACCACTGTCTCCTCTTTTGCTTTCACCTCCTGATACTGATATTAAACCTCTTACACCTTATCCAACCTCTCACTTTCCAACCACTGCCAATGACTAAAGCCAGAGGAACCTTACTCCCATTCTTTTAAGAATTTGCCATCGATTTCATTTAGAAGTTCTCAACGTCCGAACTCTGTGTCAAATCGGACAGCAAGTATCGCTCGCCAAAACTCTGGACTCTCTAGCGAGGTATTTATGCTGTGTTTCTGAAACACGTATCCAGGATGCGATTGTGGTTATTATAATGACCTCACCTGGTCATAGTAGTGAGTCTTCAAAATTCACTTCTAGAATATCTGGAGACGTAACAGCTAGCTCTCGTGGACTCACTGGTGTCGGCATAGCATTGAGTTGCAGAGCACAAAGTGCACTTCTGGGTGTCTCCAATAAATGGCTTTCGTTAATCTTAGTTATCAAGCGTTATTTTTGCAATGTAGGTGTTACCTAAGAATTTTTAGTCCACTCTCAAAATCATGATGAATTAAGCATGGGAGATATGGCATATCATCCTTCCGTTTTTCAGCTTCATGAAGAATATCATTACGAGTTCTAAACTCTGTCACTAAATTCAGTTGTTAGCATTTTACCTGGAGGAGGTTGGTGAACCGATTGATGAACCGTGAGCTACATGATCGTTTTAATATGAAATGGACTTGGGGTGTTAGTAGGAGACTAGGAATGAGGTGTTGACAGGTTTAGTCGTTGATAACTTGATATTGGATGTTTTGACGTCTAAAGCTCATGGCTAATGATATAGGAGGCATCGCTTGATAGAACTGTGGAATCTCAAGTGATGGGTGTATAGTGTGTCTCTGAGACATAGAGAAGCCGAGTGCAGTTATGAGATTGACCTTACCTGACCATCGGAGTGAATTTTCGGAATTCACCTTATGATCTAATGGCTAGGTGTCTTGAAGTCAGTGGTGTTGTAGGCAAGGTATTGGATTTTAGGACATAAAGTGGGTTTGTCGACTGGATACCAGTGAACAGCCGTCTGTGTGGTGTTCGACTGAATGGATCTGCAAGAAGTGAGGAGGGTTGTGTGAGTAGGCGTTGGCTGTTGGTAATCTGCTTGTGCGCTCCCACCGACTGCAGTTCGGATGATGCAGAGGATAAATTCTGTGAGGAGCTGTCAATTTTCCTACAAGAAGCAAAGCGTTGAGATGAAGTCCTAATGGTAGGTGAATTTAACCCTTAAGTGGGGAAGGTGAGGCAATTGGAAAGGCATCTTGGAGGTATTTACTGACCGACAAGGGTGATCATCTGTTTGAATTTTGCTACGACATCACTTGTCTGTAGGCAGCATTATCTTTAGGCATGAGAAGAGACACTGCCTCGCATGGCGTTCGCTGACACCAAACCAATGATAGACACAGATAGATCACATTGGTAGAAGCCATAGTTGAAGGGTTGCTGCTCTTTCTGTAGTACTTGTTTGAACTGTAGTGATATTAAGTCTGGTGTAGAAACAGTGGTAACAGTGGTAGAAACAGTTGGTAACCAACACCTGAAGGTTAGCAAATGTCATTGGATTTCCACAATATCGTTTGAACTGGTTAATGAGAGAAGACTGATTCCAGCTTCACACAACTCAGTGGCTTGAGATGTTATCCGATGTGGCTCAAAATCGAAAGCAGTGGTTGTCATGCTGTAGCTTTCTCCTATCTTCTGCTGCTGATAAGTAATGAATGTTTTGTTATGAATGTATGTTGTTGGATTGCCCTCCTAATCATTCTATTCTTATTGTTTTTCTTCCTTACTTATCCACTTTCCATTGTTTATGTCTTCATCATGTTGTTATACTGTTTTGTGTGATGCATTGCTTGGTGCCGTTGCTGTACCATTTTTGTGTTCTAATAATATATATAATAATAACTTGAAGTTGAGAAAGCTGTATGGAACGTGAAACGATGCAAAGCAGCAGGACCTGACAGTTGCGCCTGAAGTTTTCAAGGATGAACGTGGGAAGTTGGTTTTTAAAGTGATGGAGGTACTAAATAGTTTATAGGAATCAGAGGTAGTTCCGTTAGACTAGTTTACTTCACTGATGATCAGAGTGTATAAGAAGGGAGAGAAGTCTTTTTGTGACATCCATAGGGGAATTAGTTCGTCTAATATTATGTTCGAGATCCTAGGATCCATAGTTACGCCTAACTGGTGCTCGTGAACAGCAAACTCGTAAAAAACAGACCTTTACCTTTACACTCGGTCTCGACCATGAGGTGTTGTGGCAATGTCTGACAGTGAACGGAGTACCGAGCTAGTCATGAGTAGTGAAAGCTGTCTACTCGAACTCATGCAGCCGTGTAATATGGGCTTGTGAAGAGTTGTATTCAGAATCGACGAGAACTAATGGTGTCAGCCAAGTATACCCACTATCATCGTTCTTATTCCACTTCGTTATAGATGTACTAATCGACATAACCTTTGGGACGTCTGACTTTGAAGGGATGAACCTACTCCCTCGATGTCATCTGGTTGACTTGGAGTATGCAGACGATGTTGTTCTGCTGGGTGATGACGTTGAAGAAATGCAGGATCTGAACTAGTTAGGCAGAAATCTGAGTATGCTCGGCGTGCGTTTCGATGGCACCTGTGAAATGTGAGATGATACTCCACTACTGGTCTGTACTTACTCCTATTTCAAGAATCGAGAGTGAATTGGTGGAATGTGTCAACCGACTTCACTTACTTGAGGAGTTGCATCAGACCGAACGGGGTGGATATTGACGAAATCTGGAGTGGGATAGAGAAGGCCCGTTTGACATTTGCCAACTTTGTCATCTGTGGTGTCAGCGATATATCCGAGCATCTGTGAAAGTCAAGGAAGGAGTATGCTGCAGTGCAATCCACTGTGTCCTGTTGTAGGTAGGGATGTGAGACATGTGTGTTGACAGTAGAAGACATGAAATGGTTACTTGGTTCTGATGACAGATGTCTTCATAGTAGTTGTACTGTAGTGTGTCTGAATGATGGTGTGAGAAATGCTGGGTTGGTGGTATGGGTAGTAGGCAAGAAATGTAAGTCGATTGATGAGGTTGTGAATGTGTGTTGCCTGAGATGGTTTTGTAATGTTGTACTGGGTATGCCGAGTTACTGCCTATGTGAATGAGCAATGCGACGGGGAAGTTGGATTAGTTTTGGAAAGAGTTCAGTGTGACCAGACAAAGGCATGGCATGACAGCAGTGGATGAAGTGTGTGACTATCGGTGTGAGATGTATGTCGAGGGAGATGTAGACTGTGTGATTTGGATGTGTTAGGTGAACGGGATGAGTGGTTGAGTATTGTTGTTGAGGTTGGTTGAAAATGGGTGAGAATGGTGTAGATGTATTCACTGGTTGAGATGTTGTTAAGCTTAAATATTGACACAAAGTTTTATGTTGAAATTGTTAATTCTGTCACATAACTTTGTCTACTTTGATATGCGTGTGTATGGTAATGTGAAGTGTGGCAAGTTGATCCAATGTAACTGAGTGCGATATTCTACGTTGATTTTGTCAATGAGTTTCATCTTGGAAGTTATAACTAATAGTTTGGAAATCTTTTTTTCCTATGGGGAATACGCATGGTAAACTTAGTTCAAGTTCACGTTCAGTTTTCACCAATTTACGATATTATACGCTTCTAACGATGGTATGCTTGTTGTCTCATTTGATTTACAGCATTAAATTCTTATTTTGTTAGTTCCGTACTGGTCAGTGTTTTGTAGTTTTTTTTGCCTCATAAGTCTTTTTCGGAACTAATGACGTAACTTTTCATCGTATGTTTTAGTCCTCAATTCCTTCAGAGAGTCCAGTTAATCGACAGCAGATGCATTCTTTTACTGCTTCACATCCTGCTACTCCGGGAACACCAAACAGTCACTTATGTGGTCCTGGGAATACCTTTTCAGCTCCTGCAACTCCTGGAACTGGGTCGTCTCCTGGTAATGTTGGTGTGCTTTGTCATTCTACCCCAACGAATTCAGGTAACGTTTTCATTGTTGGCGGTTCAGGAATGCATGCTGCTGGTAGGATTACATCAGAAGATATCTGTCAACCTGTTTCTGCAGTGAATGTGCTTTCGCAGTCTTCAACGACTGAACATGTACCGTCTTCGTTATCAGTTGCAGTTGAACAAGGGTCATCATTAAATTCCTTCAGTGGTTCTCACCCGCAATCTCATGCTCAACATACAAGTCATTCCAGTATCGAGTTGGAACGTCAGCGTCTCAAGGAAACCCTAGCTAAACAAGTACATCAACGTCAAGTTCAGCATCAACATCAACAGCTTGTACAACAACAGCAACTTCATCTTGCTCAACAAGATCAGGAGCATACAATGACACGTCATCCACATTCTCAGTCCTCTGTGTTACAGCAAGGCGGTTCGTACTCAGGACTTATTTATCCATCTTTGAATCAGTCTGGTAATGACATTGTTAGTCAGCAACCTAGCGAACCACACAGTCAGTCTTATAGCAGCTATATTAGCAATCCTGTGTGGCAGCAGCACGGTTCAGTCCACGATCCTTATCATTCTGTATCACCACATAATCAAACTCAGCAGCAGTCAATGAGACATGCTTATTTTACACAGCAGGTTTCTGCTCAGCACCCAGCACTTTTCTATCAACAATCTCAACCTAGACTAGCTCCAATCTCACCCAATGGATCAAGAATTTTAACATCAGTTACTCCTGGTGTTTCTTCAATTAGCCAACAGGTTTCTAGTCAGTTTATTCCTACAACTAATCCGTCTGCTCAAAATGATTACACGAATGCTCAAAATACTCCTGTGCCAAAGGCATCGAGATTAGCATATCCAGAGATGTCTGAGTTGGTGCATCCATCTCAAATTCTTAGTGAATCTGCACCTAATTACGGGATTAGTAATCAAAATATGATGACTACTAGTCGTAGTAACCAACAAATGGTGCACTCAAATTCCATGCAGGTATATCGTAGCAATATTACTCAGCGTAATGATCACGTAAGTGTTATGATCAAATATTCGTAAATTATGATATTTTCTGCCTTTCCGTTTTGGATATGAATTTTCGAGTTATTTTTTCTGAAAGTTAAGCAGTTGCGATATACAGTTCATAATTATCCTATTTTTGTATCGGATTTCAGGTTGGTATTTATCATGGACTAACATCAGTTAGAGAACTATTGGAAACATGGCAACAGTCGACAGCTTTTTCGTCCCAAGAAGGATGAGTATGCGCTGCTGAGTAGTTTCATATTAGGACGAAACGGCTGTCCAATACTCCCAGGCTTCCAATGGTTCTCCAGAGTTTATTGGAAATGCTTTTCGTGACGCGCCAAGTTTCTCAACCATCACATAGAATCACTGACTTACTAGTTTGACTTAATGTTGAAAATCCGGATGTTGTTTACGCTTTATGCTGAATGAAGTGGAGTGCAGTAGATCTCCTCACTGATTTCAGATAAATGAAGGAAGACCTGTCTTGCTGTTTTTTTGATCATGGCTTTGGCGTCCTCATCTGTGACGCTGCCTGTAGTTGAAACGATGCTGCCTATGTGGTAGATGAAGGAGACAACCTCTTTTAGATTTCTCCTGTTTATGGTGATTGGTACTTGTTGTTGTCGGTTGTTGTTGGTTGGGTATCGTCATCACCTCTGAAGGAAGGAGGTACCGTTTTCTGTGCCTTGCCTTTTCTGTCAACTTGTTAGTTTTCGCCTGTGGATCTTCTAGTTTGCGTGACATAAGACATTCGACATAAATCATCATGGGAGAAATGGAAATCTTCTTGTGGTGTGTTTTCATTAGTAGAGCAGTGTATGTCCATCTTCTCTTTCCTCACAGTTTGTTGCATGATCCAGTGCAGTCCAGTTCAGTCGAGTGCAGTCGACCACAATGAGGAAGATGATGGGTGATAGAGGGCGGCAGCCCTGTCTTACTCCTGTCTTCACTTCAAAGACGTCAGTGAGTTGAGCTTTCCATTTTGAATCGCTTGGTATGTAGCATCCTCACATAGCACAGCATAGCATAGGATGTAGCTGGTGTTGGATGAGGTTGATAAATGTTTGTGGCAGTGAAACTGTAGTGTTGAAGCCAGCAGTTGCCTGCCAAATTACCTCCCGGTCGACGCCTCGATCGAATGCTTATTGAAAATGGATGAAGTTGAGGTAAGGTAAAGACCCACTTGACTGCTATTCTACACTCTGTTCTATGATGATGCGTAGCGTTGGGTTGCAATTTGATGCGGACATGATTTGTTTTGTGAGTGGCCGGCCAGCCTGTTCTGGCTGTAATTTTGAATGTGGAGGATTTTTTGGTCTCTCCAGGATGATGGGGCTTAATATTTTGCTTGGTTTTAGTGGGCGGGAGTTGAGTGAAGGATGATTCGCCGCCAGTTCTTGTTCTTGCAAAGACTTAGCTCACCCTTCTTTGGAAGTTTGACAAGGTAGCCCTTCTTCCAATCAATAGGCAGGTAGCTTTCCTTCCTTCCTTGCAAACCTTCTGCAATGGAAGTGGTGTGAGCATGTCCGCTGATGTCTCTGCATCTGTTTTCAGTGCTCGTGGCTGAATTGCATCTGGTGCTACTGTTTTCGCAGAATTCAGGAAGTTTTTGGCGCTCAAAACTTGACTTCTAGTTTTGTCGGAATGTTTGTGTTGATTGATAGTTGGTGTGGCTGGGTTGCTGGTGATGTTGATCGATTGAAGAGTAATTTCAGGTGGTCAGCTCATCATTTCGTTTGTTTCTCCTCTTTGGTAACCAAGTTTCCTTCACTACCTTCCATTGGTTTCATGTGTGTTGATCTCTTCCGTGGCAGATGGTATTTTGGTTATTTCATATAGTGTTGTCTCTGTGTGTCCTACCTGCATCCTGTTGTGCTTGACTTGGAAGTGTGTTTTATTGTTGCGTTCACTCTTCTTCACTTCTGTGTCCATTGTGGTGTTATTTTACTGGTTGTGTTCATCCTTGCACTGGACTGGACTGGTTTATCTTCTGCTTCACCATCTTCCTCTCTCTCTCTCTCTCTCTCTCCTCTATCAGCTTCCATGTGTCCGTCCGGATCCATTTCTTGTCTTGTTTCCCCTTCCTTCCTATCTAATAGGGTTATGCAGGTTTCTTTCCACATCTCTTTCAAAGACTTCCAGTGTTCTTCCACACAGACTCCTTCAGGGATGTTGTTCAATGTCCCCCATTTCGTCCTGATGGCTGACTGATGTGAAGATATCACTTGTAGTTTCATCCTTCAGTTCGGTTTGTGTTCTGGGTGTTGAATATCAACTGTGGTCTATGACCAACTTCTTTGAAGGCTTTCAAGTTGATTTTCAGGGTAGGTTCCTTGCACTAGGTAGTGGTGTGAGTGGTGTGAACCTGCATCTGCTCCTCTTCGTGATCTGATCTCTTGTACAGTGGGCTGGCTGCGTCTCCACTCTCTTCACACTGAGATGAAGTCGATCTGATTTTTAGTGTAGTGTGTCCATCTGGTATCTGGTGAAATCAAATCCATGTCGATCGCTGTCTTGTGAATAATATCCTTTTGTTTGTACACGCTGTCTCCAATCACCAAGTCAAGAAATGCGCAGAAGTCTGGAAACAGTTCTACATTCTGATTTTTCATTTCACTGAGTGCTTCTCGACCCATGATAAGTACTCTTCCTGTGTCCGCTTCCAGTTTCGCATTAAGACATGTCACCCAATAAAATGAATTTTGATGTGGTCAACTGTGGTGTGGTCTTGTTCATTGCTGATTGCAGTTGTCTGTAGAATTCCTGCTTCTTGTCTTGATCTGCATTAATTGTAGGTGGGTAGCGTAACATTGTATGATTGTGACTTTGCTTCATTTTGAGTTGAATCTTGCTGTGATGATCCCGATGCTGGAGGAGGAGATTGGTTCCCAGTGCATGAGAGAGAGAGAGAGAGCCTTTGATGGTGTTGTGGACATCATGATAGCCACTCGAAAACTCAGTGTGCTGTGCTCGTGGTTGTCGTCTGTGTGACAATATCGGAGTAGATTATTGACTGTTGAGTTGACAGTTTGGCGAGTCGACTTCCATTCCATCTGCTTTCGCGGATTCCCAGCCTACCACTTCTATGTTACATCTTTTCATTTGTTTTTTGCAATGTGGGCAGCCTTGCCAGCCAATCAGCCAGCTAGCTAGGTTCAAACATTGAGCAGACAGTCCATGCCCCCATGCTTAGTTTTGTTTTCATCGAGGGAGAGAAGAAACATTGGCTAATTGGCTTCCCGAAGACTTTCACCAACTGGGGTCATTTCGTCTCTCAGATTCCAGTGAGGAATAAGTTCATTTTTATTTTTAATATTTTGTTTGTGCTTCCTAGTTTGTTCAGCGATTGGATTAATTTTCTGGGTTAAGGTTGCTAGGCCTATGTCCAACCTTCCCAGTTTTTCTGGCCTTAGGACCGGCTGGTGAACTAGTAAGCTAGACGAGGTCTGGAAATAATGGACCATTGAATTCCGACTGAGGGGTTCAAGGGTAACGTGTTGGCTGGGGATCTTGATGTCCTGTGTTCGATCTCTGGTGGGGCGGAATAGCGGATGTGCCTTGCTGAGGAGTGACATACTGGCACAAAACAGCTGTCCATCGCTCCCAGGTTTCTTATAGCTCTCCAGCTGATGAATGTCAACCTAAAATCAATATATAAATCCCCAATCTAGCCAAAAACCTCGCTGAAGTTTTCATATTAAATCAGTCGCACTGTCGATTGGTATATACCTTTTGTATTTTAATTTGTTTTTCTCGTTAATTGTAATTTTTAAAAAAAAATTCTCTTTTAGCCTTCATTAACGAATCCTTATCGTCAAGTGGATGTTATTAGTTCGCTGGGTTCAACTGATAATTCACTTATCACTGATTTACCTCGGGCGTCGTCTGTGGCTGGTTTAGAAGAAATCGGATTTGAACCTCCGATTATAGTGAGTCGCCTTGCTGCCAAGGAAAAACGATATGCTCCAGCTACCAATGTCAGTTTACTTGGTAGTTCTGGTTTTCAAAATGATCACAGCATTGATCAACAACGATTGAGTTTCGATAATCCTAGTGCTCCACCCGGAAGTAATGATATTACAAATTTTCCGTATCGAACGGCTTCTGAAGGTAATTTTTGTTGAGGATTTCCTTGTATATTTTGCAGCTTTATAAAGGAAAAAGTGCTTTCAAGTAGATAGTTTATATAATTTGAGAAAACTCTAACTGGAAGTTAGAGTAGTGACCAATTAAAGGAAATCACACAAAATAAACGAGGCGAAAATGCTTATTCTATTTCATTATTTTCTCTTCTACTGTTTACCATCAATACAGATAGATAGGTGGATTGAAACACGTAAATATTGATGTACAAAAAGTGATATGTGCAAATAGGTTACAGTGCGCAATCAATGATACCCTTAAACTTGTGGCAATGATAGTGTAAAGAAGTGAAACGTTTCCTGACCTATATATACTACTTGAAGAGTTGATTGTAAGTGTCCGGTGATGATAATTCTCCAGTCCATATCCCTACTATCCAGACGAGTAGATTGTAAACATCTGTTACTGGGAAGTGGTTAGTTAGTCGACTAGGAAGCTTTTAATTTTCTGGGGTAGCTAATTAGTATTAGATGATTCAAACGTATGAAGTTGTAAGGTAAGAACTAGGTAACTTTACCAATAATTCTGATAGTTTTCAATGATCTTTATGGACTATTAGTGTGTTGATTCAAACGATGATCCATTACAAGACAATAGTGATGTGTATTGGTTAGTCAGTTTTAAAAAAAAAAATAACTACAATCATACAATAATGTTCATTTCATTATAATTTATTCAAAAATCTTCTAAATTTTCATTTTACTACTGTTGTCTGTTTGTTTACTTGCATTCTGTATGCTGTCATTTTCACTTCGTTTTTTTTCTTTTTTAAAATGAATACGTCTTAGAGAAGTGAATTCACTTGATCAGTAAATTCCTCGTAAGTAGTAACTTTCTCTTATCGCTTTGCTCCTGTATCTCAATAAGTATTTATTTACTGCTGATTGATAGTTTGGCGTTTTTTTTCCCTCTCTTTCATTCATTTTGTTTGTTTTCAAGATGTGTAGTATACCTATGTGTTTGTGCATTTGTCATTGTTTGTGTATTGTGAAGACTATACTGGAAAGTATATGTATGTCATTGATTTTGTAATGACTATCCCTATATATTTTGTTTGTTTTCCATACACATTATATGTTTCCCCTACTTCTTTATTGTTTTATGTAGTCAAATGTATGTTAAACTATCAGCATGACTAACAAATGTAAAAACTGATTGTCTACCATCAGCAAGCAATAGTTGAGTTACTCATTGAGTTCATTTGAAAGTTGTGTTTATATTTCGTCTATATTTCTTCACTTTAGCCGTTCTACAAACACATATCAATTCAATCAATAAATCTCCAACCACTTGTATATTGAATAAACCATTATCTATTCCATGTAGCACAGATGCTAATCATTTGGATGATGTAATAGCTCATGTTGTATCAGATGCTGTAGCCTATGCGGATAAATCCAATCTCAATGTTATTAGAACTCAATCTTCAAATAATCAATTAATTACTGCACAATCTTTCGATTCGATACCAATTTGTTCAGCGTTTGTTCATCACACTTCATCAAATATTGAATGGTCTAATTCTAATCGCCTTATTATTAATAGCGAAAGTGGTACACCGTTTCGTACTCCTAATCCAGATGATCAACAGCCTTCTTATATATCAGACTCTTACTTTAGAAATGTACCAGTTTCTTTATCGAATAGCCCAGTGGATAGTAAAGATCAAACAACAGGACAGTTAGTATTATTTCCTTCTCACTCTGAACCAATGAGGTTAACTGAATCTCAAATACTAGTACAGCAACAACAACAATCCTTATCTCAATCCCAACTTTATTATCAACTAACTCGAATCTCAGATACAACATCAAATAATGTGCATTTTTGGCAAGAAAACAATTCATCACCATCATCCAATTCAATGCATAACTAATTCTATTGCTCATTCATGTTCTGTATGAACTATAATGTAGTCCAATTCAACGTGAGTTCTGTTTCTTAGAGTATCTAGTAAATGTATAGTAATGATAGGTAGTGAGTAGCAGTGGAATTCAGGATGCGCATTTCGTCCTATTTGTCACTCGTCAGCTGGATGTACCTGCCTCCCAGTGAGTGATGTTGTTCCCACAGGGACTCGGACTCGGGAGCGATCGCTTCGAGCGCGAGAGCATTATCCACTATACCTAGTAAATTCTTTATTTATTCTACATTGTAAAAAGCTAGTGCTAAAAATGTAAACTTTCACTTCATATGACTTTAAGGTTTTCTGTTTAGTTTGGATGCTATTTCCTGGTTGTGGACAAATGAAATATCCAAGGTGTCCGATACTATGGACTCAAGAATTATTCAGCAATGTGTCCGTGATAACCTCTTAGGAAAGGTGGCTTCAACATCGGGTGGGACACTTTGGAGTGCTGTTTAACTGGCCTACAATTACACTCTAGTTATCCACCGTCCATCCTGAACGTAAATGGAATTTCGGTGTTTTCCCCTCAACTCTCTTCGAAGATGCTAGGATTATTTGTAACCTGAAAAAATCCAAAGCAGTGAAATTTGATGGCTTGTCACCGAGAGTTTTTAAGGGTGGAGATTAAAAACTACACAGTATAGTGACGAACGTGCTAGCTAATGTATACAATCAGAGGTATTTCCATCGAATTGCCCTAGATCGATAAGGGAGCAGGGTGTTTTTGTGATAACCATAGGGGAATTAATTTGACTAGCATCATGTCAAAGATCCTACTGTCTATAATTATGTGAAGCTTGTCTGAGGGTCTATAACAAACAACTCGAGAAAACCAATCAGGTTTTACATATGGATGTGGATGGGCTGATCTCATCATCATGCCTTGACAGCACATGCCTACTTACCGGTGGCCAACACTTACCATATTTCTTAACTTGAAGGCAGTATCCGACATCGTCGATCAAGAGGTATTGTGGAGATATCTGACTCTATCTAATTCCAATCAAAGCGGTCTACTCAGACTCACACATTCGTGTAAAGGCGTTCAGGAAGTTGTCATCTGAAGTAGGTAACTTCCAATTTTGATGAATTGAATTGCTCTTTGAACTGCATCCGTTTGACCTGGCGTATGCAGGTGATCTCTGGTTCATTGGTTCAGTTGGTGACGGGTTCAAAATCCCACGGGATTACTGGTGCTTGGATAACCATGTGGCTCCTCGTCTACTTTACGAACATTCAGACTGTTTCTAAGCGAGTAGTTTTTACGAAGAGGCCAGAAAAATTAGTATCTTCTGAATGATTTGAGAGAAATTCTTGCTTGACATGCATTTTGTATCCACGAAGTTTTTGCGCGCACTCTTCTTCACTTCTTTGTCCAGTGTGATGTTATTTTATAACTCGTGTTCAGTTTCTCTTTCGTTGTTCATCCTTGCACTGGAGTAGACTGGTATATCTTCTGCTTCACCATCTTCTTGTCCTCTATAAGCTTCCATGTGTCCGTGCCTTGCTAGGTTCAAACGTAGTGCAGACATTCCATGTCCCCATGCTTACTTTTCTCTTTCATCGAGAGAAGGTATATCAGCCAATTGGCTTCCCGAAGGCTTTCACCGACCGGCGTCATTTCGTCTCTCTGATTCCAGCTATGATTAAGTTTGTTTTATTTTTTATATTTTCTTTGTGCTTTGAGGTTTGCTTAGCGATTGGATTGGTTTTCCGGCTAGGATTGCTACCCCTATACCCAACCTTTCCTGTTTATCCGAGCTTAGAACCGTCTAGTAACTAGTGTACTAGTTAATTAGGTGAGGTTAAATTAATGTAATAAGTGTAAAATACTCCCTTTATTCTTGCAATCATCTTAGCTTATTTTGAAGACTCTTACAATTACAATATAGTTATGGTATGTTAGTCTATCTATATTTATTTAAGTAAGTTAGCTAACTACTCTTGCACCTTTTCCTAGTTTATGTGTTTATACCAGTTAATATTTACGTGGGACCTAGGAATACGCAATCAGCTACCTAGTACACATCCATGCAGCAGGCTGTCTATATTGGCACAGGTTACATTAGATAAAAGGCAGTTAGATGAAAGATAAGGAAACGGTGGGAAAGTATGGTCGAAAGCTGTAACTAGTCATAAGAAGACAAGAAAAGAGAGGTTAAATTAATAATGAATTGGGATATATGTATGATTAAGGAAAAAAAATATGTATAGATGCATCTCCGCCACCGTGTTCAATTCAGTGGCGTATCACCTAAAGTCTCCCTCTACTGATTTCAACTACCATGTAAACTTCAACCAGAGAATCTACATTTCCCTACATGTCTCAGACCAACAGTTACAGACTTCATAGACTGGCGTCCTATATTAGCCTGGTAGTCTCTAAATTTTATTTTCAACGTAAACTTTCTTCAATTGCGAAGCCGCCAGTGACTATGAGTGCGTAACACATGTCCGTGTCATCTTAGTCGATGGAGATTTACAACTTCTGCCTGGAATTTTGCGTCACGAACATAGTGGTTCCACAACATACGAACTACGCTACAAAGGTGGCGTTGGTCACACACCTTTCGGTTGTTGCATATGTGAGCACTGCATCTTTGTATCTTTTCTCCATAATACGAAAGTAGTGTTTACTTGTTATACTGTTCTCGGTTCCCTTTTCATGTCACTGATGAAATATGTGTGAGTTGATTAGATCTTAGGCTCCGTTGCAGTAGCATTATATACTTTTTCTTCATTTATCGCTAATATTCAAATTTCAAAAAGCAATTACAATTTGCTTCAGTATTTTGTGTCTTGTACATGTCAGCAAATACCCTATGGATTAAGAAACGAAGAACATTATTACCGTGTCATACTGTTACTCGTGTATGGTTAAGTAATTACTCTAATTAGGTTGTGAATACGTGCACGTGAAGTGTACCATTATATCACTAGAACTTGATTTAAATTCAAAAAAAAGAAGCTTAATCGTACCTTTTTTTTCTTTCTCAATTGTTGTCATTCATTATTGACCAAGAAAAAAACATCAATGACTTTAGATGTTTGCCTTATAGAGTAGGAGTATCTTCGTTAATTATTGAAGACTTCAATATGTTTTTATACCCTTTCTGTGAGTCATATCGATCATCATCAGATTGCTACACTTAAGCAGCAGCATGAGAAAATATTCTGCTGAAGTTGTTTAGTTTACATACAGATGGTATGCTTCGAAAAAAAAATGAAAATTATGTTTATGATTACTATTAGTAGTAGTATTTTGTATGGACATTCATACAAGATCGTTGAAAAGAGTAGACTTTTTATCATTTTGATTATCTGAGATAGCCGTGGTTTATCAGACTAGTATTCATACTGGGTGATGATTGATGATGAAATGAAAATTTAAATGAGAAGTCCTGACTAGACAACTAGTGTGAATAAGATCAAGCAATAGTAACACTTGACGAATTCACATGATATTCGGGCAAAACCCTACCTTGCGATTGAACTGAAATAAAAAATCTTGTCAGCAGTCGAACCTCATAGCTCAGTTGGTAGAGCATTGGACCGGAAACACGGTGGTCGCTGGTTTGAATCCGGCAGCGGTCCAAATTTTCATTTCATTGTCAAACATCACCCAGTATGAGTAGACATTTTGTAAAAAAGAAATACCTAATGAACAAAGTAAACAAAAAAAAACAACTGGCGATATAATGAAAACTTCGTAAACTTCTCAAAAATCCAATGATATAGTTGTTTGACCACACTAGTTCACATTAAATACACTTTTTCAAGTTTTAGGCGGATCATCTTTGTGGAATATAATATTTTTATTTTGCTTTTCATTTTTAAAAGAGTGTTGTTATCATCAAATTCTGCTGCACATTCATACATGTATGCATCACTGTTAACCCCTCAACGAAACCTGTTCGAGATTGGCAATATTTGTACTTCCCAATTCTTATATATGTCTGGATACATGTACGAGACTGAATTATTGTCTATCACCTTTCATCATAACTGAAGTTACTATCGATGAGTAATAAAGATTTCATTTACTTCATTACGTTTGCTTTCAGTATGTGTTTTATAAACAACTTTCTTCCTTTTGGAGGTAAGAGCACGTTTTCCCTTCATATTATTATCCACTTGTTACGCATTGTTCTTTCTTCCCTGTCCATTACTTTGGCATATATATAGTATACAATTGTCATAATATTACGTTTGTTTATCTTTGAACTGTTTTGATAATCATATTTTTAACATCAAAATGAAATCCATGCACTTACATGCTGCATACTTTAAAGGATTTGTGTTTTGTATCCTATCTTCATTTTTAATTGACCTTTCTGTGAGTGAGTTTTCAGTCATACATTATTGTATCTGACAAAAACAACTGTATGCAGAGGAATAATGAGCTCTTCAGTGACTAGACATCTGTTGTATAATTGCGTGTGTACATCCCTGAAGAGACAAAACCATTAAAGTATTTCATAATCAACCTGTAGTTGTTCTACGTCTGTTTTCATTGTGAATTACAGTCCTTTTGGTTCTCTGTATGATTGTTATAACAATTCAGCCTCATTTTATGTTGGTATTTATGCTTATTTCTCACTGATACAATAGTTCATTATCGAAATTATTATATATCCATCATTTTGGCATTGGAATGCCATGTTCCCTTCGTTTAAAAACAAGCTTTGTGATTAAGGGTTCATTTCGGTGGAACTCAGAATTTAAGAGGAAATCATAGTCTATCTAAGGACTGTTTAACTGTGAATCGGTCTGCTCACTTCACTACTTATCATGCTTTAGACAATCAGATGGTGTTGTTAATTTTCACATAAATTGGTGTGTTTGGTTAAGGTGTTATGAGAATCTGCGCATCAGTGCTCGTCGGTTTATCGCCTACAACGTTCCTTGGTTGAAAGGAATGTAAATGTTTAAGATGTAAGTAACTTATCTGTTCCTCCTAGAACTGTTCTCTGAGTCACATGTGTGTTTTCGATAGACTTAGTAAGGATTATACCGCTAGATCCAGTGTCTACTGTAGTTAAACTTTCCAGTGATAACTCTGTAGTACATTTTAACCTCAATAATTATTAATGCATTTCATCTCGGTAGGAAAGACTTATCAATCAAAAGTATGTTATATATATGTATATGAGCTTGTCACCTGATGGTAACCTCATATAACCGTCGTCGACTTCGAAATGTGGCCACTAAGCTGTGACTGATTGGTCTAGACATTTGACTTAAAACTAATGAGCTGGACTCTCGTACTTCACTCCACGTTCCAGAGTTTAGGCAATCAGGAAGTACTGTCTATCCTCACACAAAACATTTGGCTCATTGTTTACTGTATGTAGTGGCTGAATGCATTTGGATTTTTGTCAGGAGTTAACTTGAAGGAATCCTTCGACTTAATTCTAAACCTTGTTCATACTCATCAGCAAGTTGTTTCTGCAACCATGTTTCTTTTGTGATTCAGACTTGATTGAAAAAAAGCTGACAAGTATGAGGTCCAGGTGTCCGGAATTTCTGTTAATTGACTGTTTCACAGAATAAACTAAACAGAAGACCGAATAATTTGTTCTATTTCATATTCAGAATTTCAGACTGTTCGATAAAATTGTGTTGGCTGCCCATCAGCATGGATCAAAATTTGAAGATGGAAGCCTTCTGTGTTAGTGACTTGATACGTTGATTTGTGTATCGATAACTTCTTGCGCTACTCTTCAGACTGTTTGTAACATAGCTGGGCAGTGAATGTTAGATGGAAAGCTTTCACATTGTTTGTTTCTTTGGGTTTGCTGATTGGATAACTTAAGTACGTGCGATATACATTTCTCGCCTTTGACTATTCTCTTATTTCAACCATAGACATTATTGAAAAGATTGCTGGTGTCTGCATAAATGCATACGGATCAGGTTCTATTGAATGCCTTTGCCTCCGAAAAACATATACCTATGCAGCAAAACTTGCATACACATGACAGACGATGTCTGAGATGCATGGTTAATTCATGGATTAATGTGGCAGTTAAAAATATATTGTTTATTTGGATCACCTTCTATTTCGACTAAAGTCTTTAACACATCTAGTGAATGTTTCACGACTAAAGCATCTGTGTGAGAGTACTCAACATTACTATGAAAACTTCTAGATTAACATCGGAGAGATGAAAGCGCTGATGAACTGCAACGTCAGTTGATTTCTTAGCACCTGAAAAAGACGTAAGTGGGAAAATGCGGTATCTTTGCTTCCCAACTAAGTTTATGATATATAATACTGGAATGCGGTTAGCTGGCACCTGTAAAATGTGAGATGATACTCCACTACTGGTCTGTACTTACTCCTATTTCAAGAATCGAGAGTGAATTGGTGGAATGTGTCAACCAAGTTCACTTACTTGAGGAGTTGCGTCAGGCCGAACGGGGTGGATATTGACGAAATCTGGAGTGGGATAGAGAAGGCCCGTTTGACATTTGCCAACTTTGTCATCTGTGGTGTCAGCGATATATCCGAGCATCTGTGAAAGTCAAGGAAGGAGTATGCTGCAGTGCAATCCACTGTGTCCTGTTGTAGGTAGGGATGTGAGACATGTGTGTTGACAGTAGAAGACATGAAATGGTTACTTGGTTCTGATGACAGATGTCTTCATAGTAGTTGTACTGTAGTGTGTCGGAATGATGGTGTGAGAAATGCTGGGTTGGTGGTATGGGTAGTAGGCAAGAAATGTAAGTCGATTGATGAGGTTGTGAATGTGTGTTGCCTGAGATGGTTTTGTAATGTTGTACTGGGTATGCCGAGTCACTGCCTATGTGAATGAGCAATGCGACGGGGAAGTTGGATTAGTTTTGGAAAGAGTTCAGTGTGACCAGACAAAGGCATGGCATGACAGCAGTGGATGAAGTGTGTGACTATCGGTGTGAGATGTATGTCGAGGGAGATGTAGACTGTGTGATTTGGATGTGTTAGGTGAACGGGATGAGTGGTTGAGTATTGTTGTTGAGGTTGGTTGAAAATGGGTGAGAATGGTGTAGATGTATTCACTGGTTGAGATGTTGTTAAGCTTAAATATTGACACAAAGTTTTATGTTGAAATTGTTAATTCTGTCACATAACTTTGTCTACTTTGATATGCGTGTGTATGGTAATGTGAAGTGTGGCAAGTTGATCCAATGTAACTGAGTGCGATATTCTACGTTGATTCTGTTAGTGTCAGTGATCTGAAACGTGTTTAGATTTGGTTATTAATACGGATTGCAGAATATATGATGAGTTTGCGTGATGTGAGACAGATGCCATCATTTTTCTTTGAATATGTTTACACTTCGTGGCTATTTTTAACGTGGAAGTTCTTAATTTCTGGTAGTGTCCAGTTTCAAGTGTAAATGAAGTTCAATTCGAAGTTTTATGAGCATTGACTTCTAAAGTAGTGATATGTGATCAAGAACTAATAAAACCTGGGAGCGGTTGACAATTGTTTTACAGCAGTGTCTACTAATGTCTGTCAGTGATGAAAACTACCTTAGAATTAATGAATTTTCAAAGACCACCGAAAGAATCAGTTCTAGAACTCATTAATGACATACTTTGGAATGGTTTTCTTGAAGTTCTAATAAGAAACTGTGAAATCAGTTGATATATCTTCCTCTACACCATTGGACAGAAGACGAAAATATAACTCCAGTGACTGATTAGTAACATACTTACTGCGAGATCTAACTCTCCTGTACTCGATCACTGACCATGCCATTGATATAGACTGCTGAAGATTCCTGTACTTGGATGAAATATTTATCCACTCCATCCAGTTTTTCTATGCTTCATCAACCGATATAAATGATATGCAGAAGATATTGTGTTTTATGAAGCGCTAGGTGGTGAAGATTAACCATTACAGGGAATTTCATTCCGTGATAAATTTTGTGCCGACACAATACAATGGTTATAAAATTCATATGAAAAAGCATCAACGTAACTGGAAGCTCAATGTGTATGTAAGAAAGTTAGAGTGGACAAATGAGAATAAATGCTTTGAGAAATATCAGTTTGAGTAAACTGGTACATATATATAGACAGAAAATGGGATAAAACTGTTTAAGATTATGAAGATATGCTCATATCGCTTGATTACATCAGATGAGATATCTCGAGTATGCATTACATATGAGTAGTGAACATCTTTGTAAACGTGAAAAACGAGCATTATTGTAGAATTTATTAGAGGGTGAAATCCAGTAACGAAATGATCAAAGCTTGTCTTCAAGTCTCCGACAGCTAGTTTCAGCCATCCATACACATTCGAGTTTCTTAGTTTCATTTCAGAAGACAACCAAAGTCAATAGTCGGAAACTTTAAGAAATATGAATTAAAAATCGATTACAGCGGTGTTGATACTTTCATGTCGATATTCGCCTGAACTTTTTTTTAACAAAGATATTTTTCATTTTCTTTATATTTAGTGGCTCTTTACAATAGTTTATCTCAATCCTCTTTTTGTTAACTTATATCTTAATGTGTTGATGTGTTGTATATGACAAACTGGACAGACAATTTTATCACTTTCTATGTTATTTATATCTGTTTGCACACTATTCATCGGTTCCGTTCGTACATCTTTGTTTTCTTTGAATTCCGATAAGATGTGGGATGAACTAAGCTAATGCAATTTTCTTTTTTACGCTTCAAGTCTTTATAAATCACGTATTCTTTTTTATTATTGATAATAATAATAATAATCACTTTATTCCAAGCAATTTTTGGTACAATTTGGAATTCTCAGCATGATATTATGCAACAACAACAAAATATGTGTATGCATATACTTCTTTACAACATTTCGAATAGTGTTATTATAAGAATTTAAGTAATATAAAGGATATTAATAACGATAAAATTGTACATTGTTAATCAAATTAATGAAATGAGACTGTTGACTGTTACAAAGTTGATAAGTGAGTTCTGTTTTAACATTTTTTTTCCTCACATAATATGCATGCTAGATAAGGTACAGTCAAATTTTTGTATTTAGCCGTACGAGTGTACAGTTTTATGTAGTTTCTTCTTTTCCTTCCTGAGAAGATACAAGGAGAGAGCTGTAAATGAAATGGATGCTCACTGTCAGATAAAATTACTGTAGCTAGTTGTTTGCTAGAATGTAAATGTTTATCAACTACAGTGTTAATCAATTGGTCCAGAGGCACAGCACCCCAACGGGGCACAATAGATGAGAATAGGTAAAATGCAAGAATTAATAATTTGTAAAAGTAGAATTGGAGTTATATCTGAGGCACTCAGTTTCTTTATGTAATACTTTAGAACGAAAGATTTTTTTACAAGTCAGCAAGATATGAGACGACCAACAGGCTAGTTAACACTGTTTACTTTCTACATCAATGCAACAGGCGTCATGGGACTTAAGCAGGTCACGCAAATCTTCTTTACACCTGAGACTAAAATTAACAGTCTGACATTTGGAAAGGTCTAACTTGAGATCATTTGAGAGAGAGAAGCGGTCAATTACAGACAAGGATCCATTTAATTCAAGGCAGTTTAAATGAGAATTAACTGGAATAGAAACTGTCAAATTATCAGCATACTTAATAAAACTAGTTTCAACAGAATGGGGTAAATCACGCAAAGGAAAGATGAACAGAAAAGCAGAAAGTGCTGCAACTTGAGACACACCAGCTTCGGTAAGCAATGAAGTGGAGCGCTTCCCTTCATAGACAGTATACTGTTTCTTCTCAGAAAAATAAGAATGCAGCCACTTTGCAACTCATGGCTTAGTATGAGCTATGGTAAGCTTATTTAACAAGAGTGGTCTAGGAGCAGGGTTAACGGCTGATGAGTAATCCAGGAAGGGATAACGAACATACTTAAGACTCTTGTCGAGACTAGAAACAATATTGCTATTCAAGACAGTCGTAGCATCCTAAGTACTTCTCCTGTGTTTTTAAGCAAATTGTTTAGTATCTCTCAAAACCATCAATGAAGACTCAATCAGAAGGAGGAGTAACTTCTCCATTGCCTTCAAAAGAGGGGAAGTTATAGCGATGGGTTGAAGCTTGACATCTGATCCAGAAGATGACTTAGTCACAGGTACAACTTTGATCTCCTTTCAAGCAGTGGATATTATGTTTTTAGAAAGCGATGCATCTGTAAGGAGGTGGCATAAGATATCTGAACATTTTCTAAATATAATACTAGAATCACTATCAGGGCCTAAGCTTTGGGATGGATTCAAGGATTTTAGACATTAAAATACATCATGTTTATTAAAAACAGGAAAGCGGCTGTCCATTTGACTATGAAAACTAAGAAGGATGAGATCGGCTTGTCGATGTATGAATAGCTTGTTTAACGTGCAGACATTCGAACATGCTTCTTTTGTCATCTGTTTTCTATCAGTAAGCTCTTTAAACAATTTCCATATATTGGAAGAATACTTCCATGATATGAACTTCTGGTTATATATAGTATTCACACGTTATATTTCTGACTTAATCAGGCAGTTATGTGTTTATTCTTAAATATCTAGTAAGTTAACTCTTAGCTTGAATATTTATTAAGTTAGTGCTGATGATGTCATCAAGACTTCACATGAATGTCTATTTGTTACTGTTTTAGCAGTATGAATTCGAAGTAGTCAAGTAAATATTAAAACAGAATTATGGTTCTGTCAACAGTAAGCCCCACTGATGTCTTGATATATTCAAATTATGATTTAAAAATCAGTTTCCTACCAAAAGGATAGAAAACGAGTCACTTATAGAGAAGCTCTTCATTTTCTTGGGACTCAGGATGAGAGAAACTCATAGTTCTTAAATCGTATGCCATTCAGTGAAAAAGTCAGCGAATTTAATATTTAGCACCTCAGCGCATAAATGATACTTACTGAATGCTAACAACCATATTTATCAACTCTTAAGTCTTGGTTTAAGTTTACATTGACTGATGACTGGACAGCAACAAATTTCATATTGTCTTGGATTCGAACTCACATCCCCCAGTGTTACACTCAGTGAATATACCGCCTAATAGTTCATTGATAACATCTTTGACTGTAACACTGGGTGACAAGTGCTTGAATTTTAGACGGGACATCACTTCTTTCATAGTTTCAGACACACCTTACCAACGAATCCATTAACAAACATGCAATCTTAGTTCAGAGCTTCCTGCCGATTGCATCTAATCAATTAACACTCATAGAATTGATTTATCGATCAAATATATGATATATGGTCTCTGATATGTATGATGTGATACTACAAAGCATTTTGATCGATTTCCAATTGTTTGAAGTCAGTCAGTTGAAAACTTTAACAAAATGAATTAACAAGAATGAAATTTTATTTTTAATTGAACTAAACAAAGATGTATCTTTTAGGCGAAACCATATTATTTCAAATCTTGATTTTAATAACTTCTGCAGTAACTTGCTACTGTGTCAACGATGTACACGATAGAAATAAAGAGGATTAATTAGTAGTGTTTGGAAAGTGTATCGTAGTAGGGATCTCTTGTAATCTTCAGCTGACTTGTACAGTTGATCAATTTTGTTAATGAATTACATTTTTGTTTTAATTTTCTTGATGAGATTTTAAAAGATTTGAAGAATAGTGTGAATCGATCTGTGTGTCTTCGTATTTCTTTGTATAATTTTGACAACAGAATATCTCATTTGGATTTTAGCTTTTATTATTTGATGGCGTTAAATGAATAGCGTCTGGAATAACTAGCGTATATTTGTGTACTTCATTTCGACTTTAAACTTAACCTTTGTCTATACTAATGATGGATAATGGCTAGCAGTGCATAGAATTTAGGACACGCTTTTCCTCCTTTTCGAGACTTGTCAGCAAGCAATAACATTGTTGTCTGTACTACCGTTTGTTAATAATTGTTAAAGGTGATTGTTACGAAAATTTCAATGAAAATATCCTTTGATTATTTTGACAGATTATTCTTTGATATTTGGTGACAATTAAATGGTGAAATGAAAATTTAAGCCGCAACACGATTTGAATCAGTCACCCCTTGTATTTTGCCTGACTTTCGGTTTCAAGGTTATATTTGTTCACTTAATATGAAACTCAGCCCTAATTATCTTGAAGTATGCTTTTGAAAATACTAATAAACTGCTTATTTCAAAAGTTATCATCCAGCTCTATGAAAACAATATAACGAAACTTGTGTAAGTAGTTAAAAAATGATGTATACACTAAATTGAATTCCCATTTACATTTAAGTACCTGACAAGAGAGAACTGTCAGACTTGTTTGAGATAATCGATCGTGAATCAGAAACGTAGTGATAGAAAAATATTCTTGAAGAATTAACGGCTGAAGATGTTTCACCCACAAGACGACGATGTCAGATATTAGAAAGCAGTAAGCTATGACATATTCACAAAAGGTTTAATTGGTTATCTTGTTGACCTTGTGTATGATTGGTTGTTTCTATTAAAACGTCATAGTTTGTAGATGTATTGCAACTGAACCCCGTTGCCAACCTTAGCTTTGACCTTCTTATTACTTTGTTCCCCATTGTTTGGTTTATTGGGTCAATGTAAATATGCCAGCTGATTGATGACTGACCTGAATACCAAATTTCTAAACATTCTGCAACATTTTTACATTTCTCTGATCCAATATTTACACATTTTCCTAGTCAAATTTATGTTCATCCTTGTTTGCTGTTATAGTTGAGTATTCGATTTCTCTGAACTTCTGTTTATGAACTAGTTCTCCTGGTCACAACATTGAAAAATGTAAGTTTTTTTGTTTGCTTTCTCTTCAGTTGTGAATTTGAATTTGTCAAAAATATTGTTAATTCGTTCCTAAACAATTTTAGATTCTTTTTGTGATGACAAAAGTTTCATCTGGATATTTAGGTTGATCAGTTGCAAGACGACAACTTCTACTCTTTTCCTTACTCCTTCTGCAGTCTGTTCAGATACAGGTAATGTTATTGATGTTTATTTCGTCTACTTGTACGGTTCGCTGTTGAATTAGGCATATGTTGTAAAAAGCAAATCGATTAATTCAATCAGACGTCAACACTCTAGATATATCATTGAAGAGAATAGTCACTGTATCCTTGGTCAGTTTCGGTTTGAATGAGGTTTTAGAAAATGTCCTTGTGCAAACTTGAGGGACATAAAGGCCAATCACTAATCATTCGTATTTATAATATACCCACGAATACAAGACCAAGCAAGAACACAATAGCGTAGTCGGATGGGAATTGTGTATTTGCGAAGTTGTGCCGAAATACCGATGCGTTCCAACTATCTGGTTTGAGGGTCGATTACGAGCAGTGTAATGTAACACGACAGCGTATGAAGTGTTGAAGATGTTTGACCGTATGCCTTCAGCTTAGCGAGTCCGATAAAACCATGAAGGTTGGCATCAATGTTGAATTTCGTCGAACCCCAGGTTATTGATTTTGGGGAATTATGTGCGGCTACACGGTGCATAAAGCTGAAGCTTCGGGCTACCCTACGAACTCGTCATGGTTAATATGAATATTCTGTCTTCTCTAAATGTTGTGTCAAGGAGTTGATAAAATTGTAGCATGATCTTACCAGGTGCTTAAATTTTCTTAAGAGGTATTTTGCTAAATTATCGGCTGAACTTAGCAGGATGAAACAGTCTTTCGTATAAAGATGCCCAGTGTCCGTAGCCTTGGTTTACTAGATAAAACGAGAGAAGAGGTTCACTGTTTTTCACTTCCATTTGTTCTATTTTACATTTCATCCTGCTTTGGAAAGTCTATTCAAGTTCTCGGGTATCTCAGTGCATAACTTCTGATTATTTTTGGTTTATTTCAAATGGTGAATACGATTTTCGATCTGTGGATAGATTTTTCACCCTCTTCATTTACACATCTTCAACTATGACTACAGTGTTGCACCTTTTGTCAACGGGGAACTACAATGATGTTCCTTTTATTTTTCAATTTTTTATGAGGTGTCTGTTACTCAGTGGTTATCTGAGGATAGTTTCAATTCTGTCTGGTCAGATGAGCGATAACCGACATATTTCCTGTTGGGTCTACTTATTTGGTTTTGACATCTTTATTACTGACTTAAATAAAGCAAAGAACACAGTTACAAAAGCGTCTCTTGTATTGTGATTGAGTGCTTTCTATGTAAGGAGTCTTTTTGAACACATTTGCTTGTTTTTTCTTCTGTTGCCAGTGGTCATAAGACGTTGACTAATTTTCGTTGAGGGACGTTTCTTCTCTCTGTTCTCCCTCATTTGCTTGGTTTTCATCAGCAGTTAGCTATCTTTTAGCCATCAATGGTTGAAGATGGGTTATTTGTGAATCACAAAATATGAGATGACAATGATTTCTAGCACTGGTGAAGAGACTACGAAAAGAAGAATAAGATGAATAACGTTTGCTTTATCATTCCGCCCAGTAACCTGTACATTGAAAATCAGTATACTATAGAGGTAGTTAAACGTCTGAACTAATTGGCTGTTAAGAGAGGAATAGGGAACAAGGATTCAGGCGATAAACGAGGGTGCACAAACTTCAGGTCTAACTGAACTTTGTTTATTTTCAAATAATATGACATTTAGTATAAGCTTTTTATACACATTTACTTGTCGACATGCCTTATACATGAATCAATCAATAATTAAAATGAATTCTAACCAATCACATATCTATAAAAGCGAATGACTCATATAAGCATAGACTAGTTGTGCGATGAATTATTGATTTTTAGCCTTAATTACAAGCTGACCATCACCAAGAGAGTAGATGAGTTGTGGTTAAAGTGACAAATTTTTTTACCATACTACTTGTATTCTGTCAAAAGTTAGAACAACTATTACGTAAAGGTAAGGAGTTACTTAAACAAGCAAAAACAAGAAAATCAGTGGTAGTATATAGATTTGACAAAATGGTTTGACTGCGCTTTGTATTTAGCAGTTAGCTGGAACATCTGAATTATCTTGCAGGGTAGGCTGTGTGTCTAATAACACTGAAATAAAGCACTTTAGCTATTATAAAGATGGAATAGAAAAAATATTTTCTCGGGAATTCAGTTTGTAACTTACAATCAACTTGGGATCTGATATAACATTAACATTTTAAATTGCCCCACCTTGCACCCCTTTATCAAAGTGGAAGACATCAAAATAGGAGATACGGAAACAAAGAGGAAAGAAATCGAAAATAGTAGAAATCGCTGAAAGAGAGAATGAACGAGATAATCGGTAACAAAATGTTATGTTATGATTGAGATAAAATAAAAATGTGTGAATGCAACTGTACCACTGAGAAGTAGGTTCTAAACCATATTGCCTACCTCGTCGAATCATTATTTCTGTTATTATTATTATTTTTCCCTTGGGTTCCTAGTGGGACGTAGGGCTTTAGTAACACACCACCATTCCACTCACTTCTCTGCAGTCTACTCAACCTGGCTCCACGACAGCCCACAAGCTTTCATTTCTTCCTCATACCATCTCCTCCATGTCACCCTCAACTCGGACGCCCAACTCGTCGTTTCCCCTTTGGATTCCATCAAAGGGCCTGGCCTGAGAGTGATATCCCCGGATGGTTTTCTCAGTGTACGTCGAATCCATCTCCACTTTCTTCTGCATATTTGTTAAATGATAGGTTCTTGGTTGGTTTGTTGACAGCCAGAGTTCCTTGTTGCTTATTCTTAGTATTCTGGCCATCTGATCTTTAGTATCAGTATCGAGTAAGCGTAGGTGGCAGCTGATGATGAATGTTTGTAGTTTGTTGGAAATGTTTTTCGTGACACGCCAAGTTTCTGAACCATCACATAGAAGCACTGAATTGGTGTTGGGAATCCGGATCTTGTTCCTTGTGCTGAGTGCAGTAGATCTCCACACTGATTTCAGATTAATGACGAGATGTCTTGCTGTCTTTCCAATCCTGGTTTGGACATCCTCGTCTTTGCCGCCTGTGGTTGAAACGATGTTGCCTAGGTAGGTGTAGGTGAAATAGACTACTTCCTTTAGGTTTCTTCTGTTGATGGTGATTGGTGCTTGTTGTTGGTGCTGTTTGGAGAGTCGACTTCCATTCCATGTTCTCTCGCAGATTCCAACCACTTCCATGCCATACCTCCTTATCTCTTTTGCAATTTGGGCAGCCTTGCTAGATTCATACATGGTGTGGATATTCCATGTCCCTACTCTTACTTCCGCTTTCATCGAGGGAGAGAAGACACATTGGCCGATTGGGTTACCGATTACTTTCACCAACCGGCGTTATTTCATCTCCTCGATTCCAGTGAGGATTAAGTTTGTTTTTATCTTGTATATTCTCTTTGTGTTTTGAAGTTTGTTTAGCAATTGGATTGGTTTTGCGGGGTAAGGTTGCTAGCCCTATGTCCAACCTTCCTTCTTTATCCGGACTTAGGATTGACTAGTAACTAGTGAACTAGTTAACCAGGCGAGGTTTGTCGAATCACATAACCTCTTGAAAGTATTGAAATGTGCATTAACTTAGTATTTATATTTCCCAATGAATGTAGAACAAAATAAATTTGTTCCATTTGACGTTTAGCTATTTATTGCTAATAGATTTATCACAATTGTAGTAAACTAGAATTAACAATATCCAAGCTTATATATGACAACTTGACAAGTGTTCTTTTGCATGAATGATTCTAGGTTGTCAGAACTGTAAAATAAAGATGATATCCTTATGGAATGTGTTGTGTGCGAAGAGTGTATGAATTACCGACTGAGATTTCTATGTACACATGTGTTTATAGTTCTTATCGTATGTATGATGGTTATATCAGTATGTGGGGATTGGTTGAGGCCAGGTCAAACCACGTTTTACTCCATCATTGCAATTATGCTTCCACTTAATGTGAAGACATTCTGCTATGAGACGTTCTTTATAATTTCTAAAGCCTTTCTGATTAATTTCGACTTTTTGACGTGAAATTAAAGAATGTAGAGCTATGGCTAACGTGTTTTTTCAGTTCCACTGGGTTTTCTAGGGGTTCAGATGGAAGCTTTTTGGTGTTCATTTTTCCTAATTTTGATTTCATAGGAAGTTTGTCTTATGTATGCTGATCATTTTATTTTATAAACACAATTAAATTGTGTATCTAGAGGGATCTCTTCCTTCAAATGAAGTAAGTGCTGTGCCAATGTGTTTGATGTTCTATAGAACACTCTGAAATTGTATTTCTTTAGCACTCTCCTAATTTCATGCGGTGTATGTGATATGTAAGGGTTAACTATTGTTGAAGTCCATGATTTAGGAGTAGTTCTACGATCTAATTTAATGTTATTTTCTATTTTGTGAATGAATTTTACCGGATAATTATTCATTTTAAGTACCTTGTTTAAATATTTCAACTCCTTAACTGTTTCATTTTCATCCATTAATAGAGTATATGTTCTCCTTAAGAGACTGAAGGCAACAGAAACTCTTGCACTAGTTGGATGTGATGAGTTGAAATTTAAATATTTATTCGAATACGTTGTTTTCATGAAAATGGTTATGCTTAAATGTTCATTTTGTTTCCGCTTAACAAGACAATCAATGAAAGGTAGTCCCACCTTATACATTTCTTTTTCTCAGCTGAAGTTGATACTGAGAGATCTAGAGTTCAGTTGATCTAATAATCTCTGGTATGTCACATTTTAAAATTACGAATGTATCATAAACATATCTCAAGGTTATTTTTCAAATCATTAAATCCCAATTTGGTGTTGAAATATACTTTCCATTGAAAATAATTATTTTATGATTATAGCCTATGAAAAAGATGTGTAGTGTCAATTTTAATAATCTAGTAGGTAGGCTTATTTTTTTGTAATTGAAGTTTAATTCTATGATTTGTTAGTAGCCAAGTTACATATGTAGTTGACTTGATATGAAGAGAATTTTTTATGATTTGTCTATCTGAGATAGCTGTAGTTTGGCAGACTAATATTTCTACTGAGTGATGATTGAAGGTGAGATGAAAATCTGTACCGCGGTCGGATTCGAACCAGCGACCACCGGGTTACCGGCTCGGTGCTCTACCAACTGATCTACGATGTCCAACTGGTGACCAGAATTTTATTTCACTTCAATCGCTAGTCTGCCAAACTACGGCTGTCTCAGATAGTCAAATCATAATCAATATGATGCTCTCCCTCTCTGATTCAGTTAGATTTGGATTGGGATGAGAAGTCCTGACTAGGCAGCCAATGTGAATACGATCAAGCGGTAGTAATGAGTCACAAATTCACATGGTAGTCGGGCAAAACCCTTGGTGATTGAAGTGAAATAAAATTCTGGTCGACAGTCGATCTCGTAGCTCAGTTGATAGAGCACCGAGTCGGTAACCACGTGGTCGCGATTTTCATCACACCTTCAATCATCACCCAGTAAAAATGAAGGGGATTTATCAACAGCCTTAATTGTTACATAAGTGTAAAGATAATCCTTCAGTTAGCTATACTTTCCACTATGTTTTTACGGATTGTTTTGAGCTTGTTTCCTTTCATTTGTGTTAATTAGATTTTGAAAACACTTACATTAACCTACCATTTATACATCATTTATTCAATGGATTTAATGATATCGTAAGTTATTTATCCTCAATCTCCTGTAAACTGACTGTTGAATCAGTTTACTTACTGAAGAAAATCCTACTGAGAAATCTTGAACAATCAGTTTTAAAAATAAGTATCTCAGTTGTAACATCAACTTTTCAATTCACATGAAGTACCGTGTTCACAGAGTAAGTGCAAGTTATGTTGGGAGCAATTCATGTCTTGGTAAATAAAATATGGTGAATATCAAACACCACTACTGTCTACTATTCATTATTGATTAGTATCATACTGAAAATACCAACAATATCGAGATACCTACTCTGGTGCTCATATGCCATTAGTGGTCAACCTATGAAATTCATTTCACAGCGGTAAACTACCAACCATAACATTTCATCTAAACAACAAGTATAGCGATCATTAACAATTTGTTTCGAAGGGTGATTCCCGAAGTTCGAATGAGAAATCTTGAACGGTGTGGCCCAACCATCTCAGACGTGATTGAAGTTACTCAACGATAGCATTAGATAGAAGTCACGCTTTGTCATGAACTGACAGAAGTAGGAAATAAGGACCATTCGATCCCGACCCAGTGGTTTAATGGTAACATACTGGACACAGAACATGGAGGTACTATGTTCGACCCTTGGTGAGGCGGGGTCATGAGTGTGTACTGCAGAGGAGTGACATACTAGGAGGAAACAGCTGTCCATTGCTCCGAGGTTTCTAATAGTTCTTCAACTGATGCCAGTTCATGATGAATATTAATCTAAAATCAATACCTGAATCACAATAAACCTCCAAATCAAAAAAGTCAAAACTTCACATAAAATATCTTTCTGGATCTGGAACATAAGGGACAAGATGGCATTATATATTTTTCTGTGGTTATCGAAATAAATTTCCTAGGAAAACAAAAATAATTTATTAAAATTTCATTGGCAAACTGAAGACAATACTTTCGCTTACTTTCTTCTTCTTATTTTTCCCTTGGATTCCTAGTGGAACATAGAGCTTCAGTAGCGCGCCTCCATCCCGCTCTCTTCTCTGCAGTCTACTCAACCTGGCTCCACGACTCCTCACAACCTTTCATTTCTTCCTCTACGATCTCCTTCATGTCACCCTCACCTCGGATGCCCAACTCGTCGTCTCCACTTTGGATTCTACTCGACGGCGTGGCCTGGTCTGGTGCGTGATCTTCCCAAATGGTCTTCTCAGTGTATGCACAATCCATCTCCACTTTCTTCTGCATATTTGTTGGGTGATAGATTCTTGCTTCGTTGGTTCGTTCCCAGAGTTCTTTGTTGCTTATTATTTCTAGCCGTCTGATCTCCATCTTGAGTATTGAGTGAGCGTAGGTGGCAGCTGTTGATGTGTCTACAGTTTGTTGAAAGTGCTTTTCGTGACACACCAAGTTTCTGAACCATCATATAGAAGCACTGATTTGACGTTGGGGTTTACTTTCTTGCTAAAACATAAGCTTAAAATGAAAATTATTTTATCTTTATTTGATTTTAATTGTGGTTATGATGTAATGATTAGTTGTCACTTTTATTGATGGTTAAATTTCTCGTGAACAAAAAGACGAGTTCCACTGAATTTTTGGTAGTCAAACGGAGTAAAGCTTCATTACAGTCTAAAAATTCTACAAGAACTGTATTTTCAGCATTAAATAAAGTACGCTGAATATCTCATTTTAGTATTTTCGTTTCAACAATCGAAATAGTTTCATTAGATCAAGAAAATTTTCTTTCAAAAGCTATATAACTGTAATCATAGTTGCAACAAATTATACATCCATCAACGACAAATGGGTCAATACAAAGTTATCAAAAAGTGGTCAATAAAGCTACAAGGTCATAACTGTTACAAGGTCATCAAAAAGTGCTTATAGGATTAGATTAACTAAACGCCGAAATGAATACACTATCTGAGGGAGATCACAACCAAGGCAACGAGGTAGACACTGAATGTAGTGCTGGATTAGCAGAGGTTCAGTTGTGTTTAGATGGCAAATATACACTCCGAAATGTTTTCCTTGACTTTATAAATAACTTTGAAAGAAGACTCTTGTGGAGCACAGTGGCTTGAGATAGCCAAAGTCTCAAGAATTGAGTTGTTGAAGGCTTTCGTTCTCTTCAGAATTTTTGTCATATTTTATTCTCTTCTGAAACGCTTCTTTCTAGGACTTACTCACATCTGCAAGTATAGATTACAGTTTATCAATATAGTGTTTACGATTCATGAGAGCCATGCCTGAGCCGTTGTCCGGATGAACCATTCAACAACTGATTCGAGGGTCTGTAAATGATAAACGATCCTTTCGGACCACTTTCATATATGTTTACCAATTCGTCCGCTTTTGTGGAGCTGGTTACACAGACAACACAAGACGTGTTTTATGCAGATCAATCTGAGAACACTATCCTACATGGCTATCTAAAGGAGAGTAGGGAACCTTTCAACAACTCAATTTATGAGACTTTGGCTATCTCAAGCCACTGTGCTCCACAAGAGTCTTCTTTCAAAGTTATTTATAAAGTCAAGGAAAACATTTCGAAGTGAGTGTAAACACAACAGAAGCTCTGTCAATCCAGCACTACATTCAGTGTCTACCTCGTTGCCTTGGTTGTGATCTCCCTCAGATAGTGTATTCATTTCGGCGTTTAGTTAATCTAATCCTATAAGCACTTTTTGATGACCTTGTAACTTTATTGACCACTTTTTGATGACTTTGTATTGACCCATTTGTCGTTGATGGATGTATAATTTGTTTCAACTATGATTACAATTACTATCCAACAAGCAAGAATTACCAATACCATTCACTCATTTTACCCTATCACCATATGAACATATATCAATCCTCGAATTATCCAAATTTCTGGACGATCATAATGGCATCGAAAATCTGGACAGATAGTAAAATTCAGGGGATCAACTCACCTGTTGACTTTAAAGTGAACATATTCACAATAATGCTATGAAACAGACTTCTCTAGCACTTCAGCTAACAGTGAATATACGTCCTTGACAATGCTGCATACCTTAACGTGAACAGTATGGAAAACTCAGTGCCATTGGTCCGCAGATTTTTCAAATGTTTATTCCTTTGCACCACAATATCTAATTCTAATGGCGTAAATCTATATTGCTGTGAATGATAACACTTGAATAGATATTCACTTGGATTACGTGATTATGTGGAAACTTACAGGTTCTCAACATCGTCAGTGTGGGTTCTTCTGGCGCCGGAAGCTATAAGCATAAGAATTTATGGTGAAATAGACGTTTATATAGCGTAACGGGGGATCGCGAAGACGAATCAAACAAGTCGACTGCTTGTAATGGAAATTTAGAATTTCGCGCGACCTTGGTGCCACTAATGGTGAAAAAAGAAAGTATGACTGAAAACGATCCAAACTTTAACACTGTGTATACGCTGAAAAGTTGTATTTTCTTGTTCATTTCATGACTTGTGTAATTTTCTGATGTTTTGGATTTAATTTAATGATCTCCATTCCGTACCATTTAGATCCATAAAATCTTGTACATTTTCCAACATATATCAATGTGATGATGCCTGTAAACTGGCTTCTCTCATGTTAAATTACTAATATGAGAATAAAATATTTGTTTATTAATTTATTTATTTCATTATCTCCTATTCCAATGTTCCAGTGGGGGGAATCATTTGTTTTCGCCTTTCTGTTGGAACTGACCTTTTAACTTTGTGTTAGATTCTGACTGAGATAAATAATCGTAATTTTTCAATTTTCATGCCTCTTTATAGTTCCCTTTAATTGTTGTTTTTGCACACTGTATTGCAGTCTACTAGCTAGAAAAGTTGGAGATATGCTTTCCGATCTTAACTGATTTCGTAGTTATTCATGTGTCTGCGCATAAATTACAACTTATTAGCTGCATTTATCACTACAAGATAAAAACTTGCGAATATCTCACCAACATGGAGATTTTACTTCCCTTTGTGATAAATATTTAGGATAATGCTTCTTTTGGCTGGAAAATTAGAACCTAAAGATAATGGCTTTGGTTTTGTTTTGTAGACTGGATGTGGGGTTTCAAACATTTACTTCTTCACCATTAGCAGTAGTACGTTTTCAGCACAGTGTCAAATCTTTGAATCGAAAAGCTTCGTAAATTTCAGTTTTATTGGGCTACAGTTGTTTGCTGTTGTTGCAGTTTAAACTGGTCCCAGTTGTTCTCGTAATGAGAACTTGCACAGTAATTTAAAGTCATTTGCGCCTTGGCACTAAAAGCTGTCGATGCTAGTGAGCAGAATCTGTAACAGGCGTATAAAGATTCCAGTGGGTTCAGTATATTGTTTTACAGACTTCAGTGTTATATATAAGCCTAGCACCAAAAGAACTGCTTGATTTTAACCATATTATTGGAACTGCAATAAGATAGCAGAATCGTCTGCTATCATCTGATTCGCGAGTGGTAGGAGCTCCTGCGATGTTTCTATGTAACATATTGATGAGAGATTGAAACCTGATTGTCAGTTCCACGTAAAACATCACTAACAGATGATTATTACTTCAACTTACGTGAAAGGACTCCTTGATAGTTGTAGAGGATTTGAAAGTCTTATACAGATAAAGCAGTCATTCGCTGCTGAAAGACAGTCAACTACACGTATTCAGTAAAGAATCTACAAATTCGAACTCATGACAATTAATGAATCATTCAGCACATCATGATGTGTACAGCCTTCTTCTAGGGTTAAGAAGCAAAATGATGCCTTCCACCTCGATCATTGGTTAGGATATGAATGATTAATTCTGTGACATTATAGTTTGTTTTGCCATAAGTCAAACTGATTTACAGTTCTAACATTTTAGATGACAATGAATTTGACCTTACTCAACAATCAAGGACATTTATGTGATCAGTTTTATTGGAACCTCTTAAACCGCTAGGTAGCCTACAGATTTCAGTAATCTAAAATAAAGGAATGAAACAGTGTGGAAGCTGTTACATTCTGAGAATGAAAGTGAGTTACTGGCAAAATCAAGCTTGTTTATCTGTTACAATGCTAATTACATTTGTTCCACGACATCTTTCGCTTCATAAACCAATATATTTGCAAGTTCTCCAACTAACAGATTTATGACGGAAAGAAGACTATGGGTTTTTAATTATACACCGTATTAATTAAACCGTGGAAGATATATTCAAATGATTAGCTACCTGAGAAGAGTAGTGAGAAAGCTGCGATTTTAAAATGAAGACATTTGAGATTTAACGCAAGAAATACTTTGTACAGGAAACTGGATTCATTAGCACACTCTCTAAGTTCTACATTTATAAACTATAGACGTTATCTTACAAAAGCTGTTACAGAACAACCTGGTGAAGAATCTTATCAAAAACAATCAATAAATTTAGTATTATTTTTCGAATATTTCATGTGGACTTGTAAATATTTCAGTTTAAGAAACTGAATTTATTATAGACTAGTTTGGATCTCAAATGTACACACTTTTCCCTTTGTATATATCTATTTTATTGATTTATTTTATCTACCCTTTGTGAAAAGACAGTGATAAACAGAAATAAGTTTATTATTTGTGGTATTTGTACTTTCCAATGAATGAATGAATGAAGGATAAATGGATACGAAAGAGGCTCCATGCAACTCCTTAGAAATCCAATCGACCTAAAACAAGCTTGAAAACACTTCAGCCATAGCTCTTAATGGTATAATTTCAGGTCACAAAGTCAATTTTGTAACTATTGAAAATATTCAGAAAAGCTTTAGAAGTTATAAAGAAGGTCTCATAGCCAGAAACGTTCCATAGTAGGTGGAATCGAAGTTGTCGAAATAGAAATGAAGGAATAAAATGTAACAGTTAGTCCTTTTGCTGAATTTGTATAAGAAAAGGAAGCTTGATGATGGACCGATCAATTCGGTCCAAGCAACGACGGTATCATATAAAAAACAATTATAAGAAAAGGAAGCTGTTATTAACTAGAAGGGAAGATAGATTGATAAAAAGATCAATGTATAGAAAATCTACGTGAGCTAGACAGTACCTTAACTTTCATAGTTCCTGTCCAATATAGTATAAACTAGGTTTAGTAAAATGCTTATTCAAAAGAACCCAACGCATCTGCACAACAGATACACTGGAAGAAGAATTCAAATTTTTAACAGAGACACTCATGGAAGAAGTGTATCCGCTGAAATTCATCAGTCATTATAAAAGCGTCTCAACGGTACAAACTAATCAATATTCTGTCCAGAAGAAGATTGTTTATATCACGCTACTGTATATGGGGAAATCAAACAGTATGACGTAGACGTAGACTTAATTCAGTTATTAAAAAGGTATACGACGCAACCAAGCTCAGTATTCTGGAGAAAAAGAAAACTATGCTTCAAAATAAACCTCATCACTTCATAAATGATTATATCACATCCCGCTGTGTACACCATTTAGTATGTGTGTAAGGTGACACACACACTGGGAGGAGTAATCGGACTATGAAGTCGAGAGTGGTGAAAAATATCCGTAAATGGTTAGAAAAACACATTCAAATAAGCCCATAATTACAGGCGACAGATAGAAGTCATCGTAAATAGGTAAACACATTATAGAAACAGGTCTCAGGATTGACCCCAAAACCCTATTAGAAAGGAAGGAAAAAGAAGACAAGAAATGGATCTGGACGGACACATGGAAGCTGATAGAGGGGGGAGAGGAAGATGGTGAAGCAGAAGATAAACCAGTCCACTCCACTCCAGTCCAGTGCAAGGATGAACACAACCAGTAAAATAACACCACAATGGACACAGAAGTGAAGAAGAGTGAACGCAACAATAAAACACACTTCCAAGTCAAGCACAACAGGATGCAGGTAGGACACACAGAGACAACACTATATGAAATAACCAAAATACCATCTGCCACGGAAGAGATCAACACACATGAAACCAATGGAAGGTAGTGAAGGAAACTTGGTTACCAAAGAGGAGAAACAAACGAAATGATGAGCTGACCACCTGAAATTACTCTTCAATCGATCAACATCACCAGCAACCCAGCCACACCAACTATCAATCAACACAAACATTCCGACAAAACTAGAAGTCAAGTTTTGAGCGCCAAAAACTTCCTGAATTCTGCGAAAACAGTAGCACCAGATGCAATTCAGCCACGAGCACTGAAAACAGATGCAGAGACATCAGCGGACATGCTCACACCACTTCCATTGCAGAAGGTTTGCAAGGAAGGAAGGAAAGCTACCTGCCTATTGATTGGAAGAAGGGCTACCTTGTCAAACTTCCAAAGAAGGGTGAGCTAAGTCTTTGCAAGAACAAGAACTGGCGGCGAATCATCCTTCACTCAACTCCCGCCCACTAAAACCAAGCAAAATATTAAGCCCCATCATCCTGGAGAGACCAAAAAATCCTCCACATTCAAAATTACAGCCAGAACAGGCTGGCCGGCCACTCACAAAACAAATCATGTCTGCATCAAATTGCAACCCAACGCTACGCATCATCATAGAACAGAGTGTAGAATAGCAGTCAAGTGGGTCTTAACCTTACCTCAACTTCACCCATTTTCAATAAGCATTCGATCGAGGCGTCGACCGGGAGGTAATTTGGCAGGCAACTGCTGGCTTCAACACTACAGTTTCACTGCCACAAACATTTATCAACCTCATCCAACACCAGCTACATCCTATGCTATGCTGTGCTATGTGAGGATGCTACATACCAAGCGATTCAAAATGGAAAGCTCAACTCACTGACGTCTTTGAAGTGAAGACAGGAGTAAGACAGGGCTGCCGCCCTCTATCACCCATCATCTTCCTCATTGTGGTCGACTGCACTCGACTGAACTGGACTGCACTGGATCATGCAACAAACTGTGAGGAAAGAGAAGATGGACATACACTGCTCTACTAATGAAAACACACCACAAGAAGATTTCCATTTCTCCCATGATGATTTATGTCGAATGTCTTATGTCACGCAAACTAGAAGATCCACAGGCGAAAACTAACAAGTTGACAGAAAGGCAGGGCAGAGAAAACGGGACTTCCTTCCTTCAGAGGTGATGACGATACCCAACCAACAACAACCGACAACAACAAGTACCAATCACCATAAACAGGAGAAATCTAAAAGAGGTTGTCTCCTTCATCTACTACATAGGCAGTATCGTTTCAACTACAGGCAGCGTCACAGATGAGGACGCCAAAGCCATGATCAAAAAAACAGCAAGACAGGTCTTCCTTCATTAATCTGAAATCAGTGAGGAGATCTACTACACTTCACTTCATTCAGCATAAAGCGTAAACAACATCCGGATTTTCAACATTAAGTCAAACTAGTAAGTCAGTGCTTCTATGTGATGGTTGAGAGACTTGGGTGCGTTGTAAAATGCACATCCAATAAACTCCAGACATACATCATCAACAGCTGCTGCCTACGCTGTCTCTATACTGAAGGTCAGATGGATGGCCAGAATAATAAGAATGAGCAAGGAGGAACTCTGGCCGACCCCATAACGAACCAAAGAAGCAAGAAGCCATCACCCAAGAAATATGCAGAAGAAAGTGAAGATGGTGTGGACTGGACTGGACATACACTGAGAAGTGTATCTGGGGACATCACGCGCGAGGCTAGTACTAGCCCTCTAGTGGAACCCGAAGAGAAACAACGAGCTGGGTGTCGGAGTCGAGGGTGATATGGAGGAGATGGTGTGAAGAAGAAATGAAAGCTTGTGGGCATTTGTGGAGCCTTGTTGAAAAGACTACAGAGAAGAGAGTGGAATGGAGGCGTTCTACTGAAGCCCTATGTTCCACTAGTAACAGAAAAATACTAAATATAATATTTTCATCCTTTATATAAAATGCCTTGACAAGTTAATGTCTGATCAGATTGCTCGAAGTGTATTGCGCAAATACATCACTTTTCTCAGATAACCTCCATCTTCTTATTACACTATGCAAATTAAATCTAGTTTGACCTGGTTTCAACCCACTGCTATATAGTGAAATAACCAACATTCGAGTGTACATACAAATCTCAAACTGTAATTCACGCATAATAAGCTACATATTGATATCATCTTTATCCAACAGTTTGACAATGCGAAATGATTCATGCAGAAGAACACTTGTCAAGTTATCATATATAAGCTTCGATATTGTAAATTCCTGTTTACTATAACTTTGATAAATCTATTAACACTAAATAGTGGGACGTCAAATAGAACAAATTTATTTTGTTTTACATTCATTGGGGAATACAAATACAAAAAATAATGAATATGATTTAATCAATGCCGAAATGTTTTCAAACTATCAAATCCCAACTTTATTCAGTTATTTAGGAATCAATGAATTCAGTTATCATGATACCATGAAGAATGAGGGATTTCAGATTTAATTTTTTAGAAAAATTCAATGATTTTTATCTCCTTACATTCTTCATTACCTTGTTCCATTCACCTAATTCATTGCCAAGAGGAATTACATCTTCAAAATTTCTTTGGGAAGTTATCCATGCAAACGTACTCACATCATACTGATATTATTCAAAATTATTCAGTTGAGTTAGAACTATAAAAATCACAATGCTAAGTTGTAGAGTGACATGATATGAGTATAGAGAATTAACTATGTCCGGAACGTTATCCAGTAAATAATACTGTTTTACTGTGTGATATTTCTAATAAACAGAATAAAGTGGAACAATAAATGACTTCGAGTGTGTGAATGATTTGTTTTCCTCGTTTTGACTATGTCTTATTATAAGCAATACAAGAATAAAGAAAGACATTTAAGGAATAAAATGAGTTCATTTAATCCCACCTCCTTTCATCAGTTGCAGCAAACAGCCTACAATTGAAACGAAGTATTGGTAGTAATAATGGTATAACTGCCCATCATTACTATACATAATTAAAACAGGCAATATCGAGGCATCCGCACAGGAGCCGATGTGCCAACACAGACTGATCAATTTGGTCCAGTCACCGGTTGTGTAATACAAGCAATAACACTAAAACTAAACCCGTTGCACCAGAAGCGCCTATCATGGCTCGGTGGTGTAGTGGAAAATGCTTTTGCCTTTTGAAGCGATCGCTCCCAAGTCCGAGTCCCGGTGGGAACAACACTCACTGGGAGGCAGGTACATCCAGCTGACGAGTCCCAAATAGGACGAAATGTGCATCCTGATTTCCACTGCTAGCTACTGTCCATCATTACTGTACATTATTAGAAGACAAGCAATATCGAAGCATCCTCACAGGAGCCCATATTGCAACAGAGACTGATCAACTTGATCCAGTCGCCGGATGTGTAATACTTAAATGGTATAACATACTGTAAATATGTGGGAAAAAATTGAGATTTAAAATCTAGGATTAACAGTAAAGTAGTGGTCAAGGAAAATAGGATTAATAGTTATAAATCTTAGTGAAAA